AAAAAAAAAAAAAAAAAAAAAAAAAAAAAAAAAGATTGAAAATTTTGCAATTACACTACAGTTATGTATTATCATGCGACTCATTTGTTTTCCCCTCCTTTTTTTTCATTCTTTTTTTTTTTTTTTTTTCAAGTGTAAAAATTGTGCAGGTGTTTCCACACAATTGGCATTTTAATTAATTTTATTTTTCACCTGCCAAAGGTGAGCAATATTTCTCTTTGAGGAGATTTGTTCACCGCTCCCGCGTTAAGTCGTTCTGTTTTTGTGATCAACCCAATTCACATTTTTTTAATAATTTTCCTTCCGCTTGTGTGGCCCAAGTATACGGTCCTCTTGACGCAAATTTGTTCGTCTCCCCTCAAAAGCCGGTCCGCCACATCCCCTGCACGATTGCAAAGAGAGCTTGTGGTTCAGGCGAAATGACCATGGGCATGCTTGCCCGTGTGTGACGTATCCCCCCCCACACACACATACATACACACGTACACATACAGACGGTGTACATGCGTTGACTATGTGTTCGATGGGAGGCCTCCACGTGTGCAGCGTAGAAGCAGAGGTTTCGTGGAGCTGCCCATCCGGGATCTGCGGTTTGAGGCCGGGGAGGGAGACTCACCCACACCGGGAGGAGCCCAACGGGCAAGTTGCATCTGGTATGTAACGAGAAGATACAAATGAATCCAGCCCACTTCCCGAACGTTGTTTAAGAACTCTCTACCGCCCCCCCCACACACACACACGCTTTTTAAAATGCGAAGCAGCATGGCGAAGGACCTGGAGGGAGGAAAAAATGCGATGAACAAAAGAGCAGTAGGGACGAAAAAGGAAGTGGTGATATCGGCGAACGTTCTGCAGCTGAGCGAGTGCAAAGAGGAAGAACAGGTAGAAGAAGGGAGTCCTTTCAACGGTTCGAGGCATGGACAACAAGATCATTGGAAGAAAGGCGATGGTCATTATGGGGGAAGACGCAGTAGTAGTTTGGGACAGGACGACGGAGGAACTATGAACAGCGCAAGACAAAACAACACGTATGAGGGAGGTAATTACAGCACACAAGGCAGAAGAAAAAAAAAAAAAAAAAAAAACTCAAGTTCAAATGTTTAGAATTCAAAATTATATATACAAAGTGTTTACCTCGGTGTTGAGTTTACTAATTGTGATTTTAATTCTGTACGCATCGATCGACATATCGACCAACTATGGACCCATAATAATCGTGTACATAATAATTCTTGAATTTGGAAGTATGCTGATTTCTTATATCTTGCTGCAGTTTCCTTTTTTCTATCGCATCCTTAAGAATGTGTTTACTCGAGCGAGGAACGTTAACAAATACTCTCATCAGTACAAGCCGTTTTACTACGATACCCCTTCCAACAGTGATGACAAGGACTCCATTAGCATCGAGAGGGGAGAGAAGGACAGCAAGAGGCGCAGGAACACCTTTGCCTTATTCAGTATCAACAGGAATAATAAACGGTATAGCATTAAGACTCTTTTTACTGGGCATAAAACGAAGAAGGGAAAGAAGAAGGGTAGACAGGATCCTGCAGGACAGGGTGAGGTCCTCGACGAGCAACCCACCACTGGGGTACAACCCTGTGAAGGTGTCCCTAGGAAGAGCCGCGTACAACCAGGAGCAGCGAGCAGCCACAAGCGACAGAGCATCTACCTGGATGACTGCAACATGTGGATGAACAGTGATATGAAAAAAGTGAATAAAAAAAAAAATTTTAATTTATCCCGATCGCTCAGCTTCAATATCAATTTGAATGAAGACAATGACATGATCATGAAGGATTCTGCTAGTCTAGACGATATAAAAATTTTTCTGGGTCATCAGACGAGCAACTTTGTAGCAAACAAGAACAAACTCAAGGCAAGGAAGTCCTCGATATACAATAAGTACGTCCCCTTGACCTTCACTTCGTCTTATAAAAATAATATGGTGACTCAATTTTTGAAGGCACACACAGAGAACATACGTTCGCTGAGTTCAGAGGAGTACTCCTCATCTGATAGCGAGGGGTGTGAGGAGTCTGCCAGGTATAAGAAGGTATACATTGGGGAAGGGCACGTGGGGGAAGGAGATACTGCGAAGAAGGGAGGTGCGAAGTATATCGTAGACGACGTGGGGCATGACGCTCGAAACAAAGAACATGATGAAAGAGGGCCGAAGGAGTTGATGAGCCGAGAAATAAAATCACATAGCAAAGACCATACCGATGTAGCCACCCCCAACTTGTACTCAGCCAAAAGTGCAATTCTCTTTAGCAATAAAAAAGAAAAAAAAAAACACCAGTATAGAAAATTGATCAAAGGTAGAACTCGATACTTTAAACAAATCAAATGTATAAAAAAGGTGAAGAAGTTTTTTTATTTTTTTATTAATTATAATATGAAGTCTTCCAAGTCTACGAATAATTTTTTTCTCTTCTTTAGAGGTGTGTCCCTTTACATAAAGCACCGGTTTATGCATTATTTGTCGTACGAGCCTGTGTGGATCATTGCCATTTTGATTCGAATTGTTTTGTGGTGTATTGTTTGGCTGTGGGCAGCTAGCTATATGGAAAGGAAGCCTAAAAATTTTCAAATAACAGAATGGAACATGAAAAAAGTTCCGTCTTTCTATGGGTACATTGAATGCACCTTCCAATGGTGTGGAGTGTTTGATTATTTTTTAGGACTATATTTCACTAACAACAGACTGAAATATATATTTTCCTTTTTCTCACTTATCGACTTTATTACTACCCCAGTTTCATCCCTAATAATGAACGCCATGTGTGAAAATAAGTACAGCCAAAATTACTGGTTCTTAATACTAGGTCCTCTTCGTTTTTTAAGACTAGTGAGAGCAGAGAGCACTATCAGTTCTTGCTTCTTCTGGTTAAGCGACGTGAAGATTATAATAATAGGAATAATCATTTTGGCCTTAGCAATTCTGTTTACCTTTTCAGGTATTATGTATATATTAGAAGCACCAGACATTGAACGTGATTTTGTGAGCCCATTAGACTTTATATATTTTGGAGTCATAACCATGTCGACAGTTGGGTATGGAGATTATACTCCTGTTACTCCTGCAGGGAAATGTCTCACCATGTTTATTATAATCACATGCATTAGTTTTGTGGGGGCACAATTCAAGCGATTGAAGGAAGCCATGTTTAGCCCTAAAACGATTATGGGTATTATACCTAAACAGGATGACGATTATATTCTTATCCTTGGGCCAGTGAGTCCAACTCAATTGTTATACATTTGTAAAGCGATTAATAATAGCTTTCCCAATTCAGTAGAATGTATTTTTATTTTTACTCCTCTACCAGTAATCATTTATCGTTTTGTGTATGGAAGTATTGTGAAAAATACGAATATTAAGGTGTGTATAAATGGAGGAAATGAATGTTTCATTTGTCCTAGTATCATATATGACGCAGTTATTAACGCCAGGGCTCTTTACATTCTAAACAACGTAGATGCAGAAAAGTATACCTTGCTGTATCAGCAGATTTTCCTCGCTAGTAATAATTTAAATTTTAGTAACAATGATCCTAACCAGAGAATCAGCTCCAATGACATACTACACAATAATATTATTAACAAGTTTAATAAAGACAAGCCGAAAAAATGGAAATACGCAGATTTTCTCTCCGACTACAAAAATGAAATAAATAAAAATAATATGAAGAATTTAGAAATGAATATTAACATTAATGATTCTTATGTTGTTAAGGAGAAGGATGATCAGGAGTGTCTCCTGCGATTCATAGGTACATACAATATTTGTAACACACTCATCCCCATCACTCTACAACTCTCTAATAACACATATGAGGAACTGGTGAAATCCATGAAGGTTTATAATTATTTGAGCATGGAAGAATTGAAATATGCTCTCCTGGCCAAGAGTGTCAATTGTAAGGGCCTGTTTTTTTTAATTATTAATTTTTTTTATAAGCCTAAGGCCGTGAAGAGTTTGAAGAAATACATCATCGATTTAAAGTTACTTATGTATAACAGGATATTAAAAAGAAAAAACAGGGAGAAAATGAATCAGGGTGTGAAGATTAACAACATGGGTGAAATGTCTTCCTCCAGCTCTGGCATGTCTTTTGGAGGGCTTCTCCCATATCTGAAGGGAAGAGAATCCGTTCAGAGAGGTGGCACTGTTCATAAGGCTAACATTACTAAAGTCGCCACTCGTAGTACTAGCGAACCTGAAGTTAAAAGGGGAATAACAATACGAACCCAGGGAAAACTAGACCCCGCGAATTACAAGGAAATGCTCCCTATGAACACCCTGGACGATCTAGACATTACACACACACCCAACTACCAAAATTATTATCGCATGCTCGAGAGGGTCAGTCTAAACATGTACTATTACCTGGAGGGGCTAAAGTACAACATATATCGTTTTCAATTCCCTGAATGCATGAGGGGATTTCTCTTCCAAACAGCTACGGAATATTTGTACCAAAAGTATAGTGCCTTCCTTATCGGCATAATAACAATCAATAAAGAAATTTTTTTAAACCCTGTGGATTATATTATTGGGGAGGAAAATAAGTTTTACTATACTTCTGCCTTTTCAGGGATAATTCTAACCACCAGCCTGGACAACCTGATCAAGCTGTCCTCCATTAAGAACATCTCGAAGAAGGTGTATGAGTACAACGATCGGCGTATCAGCGAACGCTTCCGGGAGAATGCCAGCGCGAGGAGAAATGTGCCCGGGGCAACCACGAAGCGAGAGGAGGAGGAGAAGAAGAAGGTGGTTGGGGTGAGCGCCACGAGGGGGAAAGTCAACTTTGGCGCGAGAGGCGCCAATTCGGGCAGCGACGAGCAGCAGCGCGGCGAAGCTGACGGTTCGGTGCATCGCCAATCGGACTTCCAATTGGAGCGCCAGTCTCAGAGCCAAGCACAGGAGGAGAAGGTGCCCCAGCGGAAGAACCTCCTCTACAACTTCTTCCTGGGAATATACGAAGTCGACAACTACATATCGGCCTACCGGGACATATTCAGCGAGAAGCACAAGCCGCTGCTGCTGGTGTGCGGCTGGCCAGACAACATACACCTGTTCCTCAAGCACCTGCAGGTGAACACAGGCAACTGGTTGAGGCATAGAAGGAAGAGGAAAAAGAGGCGAAAGAGGAGAAGGGAAAGGGAAAGGATGCAAACGGGGGCGACGGACAGGGAACAGCGAGGCGAACAACCAATCGTTCATGTGAACAGCTCTTGTAGCGACGATTCGAGTGATGACTCCTGTGAAGACTCCTGCGGCGACACCGCTTCGCTAAACAAAAAAAAGGCTGGTGGAAAAATCAAGTACAACATAATCATCCTATCCCTGCATGTACCAAAATTCAATTACGAGAACGACCTCCTGGACTTCTGCCATAACGTGGCCTTCATCCGGGGGTCGGCCCTGAACAGCACCAACCTTATACAGGCAGGCGTTTTCTATGCGAAGAGGCTCATCATCTTCAACGCCAACCACAGCCTCTTCATTGACAAAGATGCCTACCGGATCGACAACGAAGTAATCATTATAAAGAATGTCATATACCAGCTGTACAACAGTGTGTTGAAGAGTAGATTCAATTACATGAATTTGGTGAGAAGGGTCTTCAAAAATGAATTCAAGGATGTTAATATTAACGAGAAAGTGTTCGCCAGTGAAGTTCCGTTCCAACTGAATGAGATGATACGGGTAAAGACATGCTCGTCGACAGAGTCATCTGCGTCGTCATCCTCCTCCTCTGCATCCTCTGCTGCATCGTCCGCCTATCGTCGTTGGGGAGGGCCACCTCTGCCGCTGCGGGGAGACTGTAAAACCCTGAACATCTTCAACGTCAACCGGAACCTTTACCTCATTTGTTTGATTAAAAATTCGGAGAGCCTAGAATACATCGACGGAAGTATCAACTTGTCTTACGAAAATTATAACGACAATGAAAAAATGAATAAAATTTGGGAAAATTGTGGAGAGTACATTTACACATTCGAGCTGGTCTCTGCCAACATTTTTGTGGATGAGATGCTACATAATTTGGTATCCTTTTCTTTGCCCATAAGTAAATACGCCATTGAGTACTCAGTCATTTATTCCCTCATTGGGATTGATATAAATGAATACTCCAAGAACGCCAAAGCTTTCCACAAAAATTTAAAGTTATGTACAGGTCAGGTGAATTTAATTCCAATCCCGTCGTATTTTTACAAGAAGAGTTTTTACAAATGTTTCTCCTACTTCCTTCACAACAAGCAGTGCTTGTGTATTGGCATTTTGCGTTACATGGACATTTCGCCGCTGTGCAGGAAGTCCCGCAAACTTTTCGTACTGTCTTGCCCATCGCGTACAATGAAAATTGAGCGTGACGATCAGGTTGGTTTGGTGGGCGTGTCCCCGCAAAACGTGCAGGGAGAAAAAAAAAAAACATGGCTCCATGTAGTTGTACTGCTTTTTGCGGCTTGGCACATTTTTATACACACGGAAAATTACTCAAATGAGAGGTGTAATTTTTTTTTTTTTTTTTTTTATCTTTTCCCCCTTTCAGGCTTATGTCATATCGTACAACACATGAAGTAACCCCCATGTTGTTAAGGACGAAAAAGAAGAGTAAAACATGCTTGACTGGTGAATCAACACATTGGAGCGACGCAGAAGAAAGGACTGACTAATCACATGATGACATTTTCGCGGAGGTGTATTATCCGTGGAAGGTATCAACCTTCCCCCTACACACCCCTTTGTTTGTGCAGCCGCTTTCTCAACTGGCTACGGCGCCCCACACGTAGCAGCATTGCGATTGGACCGGATGCCCCCTTGACGCATTTTGAAACTTTTTAAATTATCTTTAATTTTTAAATTGTGAATAAAGAAAAATGACGCTTTCTTTTGCTTTGCTTTTTTTTTTTTTTTTTTTTTTTTTTTTGTTGTTTCATTTCTCCCCCCATTGCCCTGCGCAGCAGTGTTTTCCCTTTTTTTGTTACAAGAAATGCAAGACAATTTTATGCTCCTTGTTCGGGCTTTCCCTGTTTGGTCGTTCCACCGGTTAGTACATCATTAATCTAGCCATTTTCCCGTTCGCTTTTTTTTTTTTTTTTTTTTTTTTCTTAACTTTCACTTTTTACCTGACTGGTCAGGCAAAAACGAGAAAAATTATCACCTGCAAGGTGGCACTGCTTGGCTATCTGGTCGGTGATCTGCTCTTTTGCACATTTTTTCATTTCCTCATTTCCTCATTTGTTCTTTTGTTCATTTGCCGTTTTTCGTCGTTCGCCCGCCGAGCGCTCCTCACCCCAACCCCGAACGGAGAGGGACAGCAAAATGAAAACCGCGCGAAGGCGCCTGGCCAAAAGAATAACCAGCTTTTACAAAAATGTCGACGCAAATACTCCCCTTTTCGCCACCAATTTGCTGCTTTACCAATTCGAGCGGGACTTGATAGTCACCCTTATGCAGACATATAAGAGGCTACTGAAAAAGCATGAACAGGAGAAGACACGATTCCACGAGGAATACTTGCTAATTTTTAATTATATAATTTTTTCCTACTTCAATTTTGTCCTCTCCGAGTTAAGCCAAAATAATACCCCCCACTTTGACATTGTCTACGATTTGAGCAAATCCACAGGTGAGACCACTCCCCTTTTAAACGCAAGGAGGTTAACAAAAAGGGCGAAATGCAGCGTATACAAGTTGAAAAGGCTACTCACCGGGAATGGTACACATGGCGGTTTGGGTCACATCTCGGGGGGAACTCCTCATTCATATAGCCAAGGAGAACAAAATGAAACATCATATGAAGATTATCAACCAGGGGGGAGGAGGCATAAACACACAATTGGGGAAGAAGCACATAAGGGAAAAGAGAAACGTGAATGGAATAGGGACATCAGTGATGAAGGCTATCAGAACAGGGTCAATCATTGTGGAAGTAAATCGTTGGGACGTGCTGGTGGGACATATGGAAAGGTCCACATTAGCGACAAGGGTGAAAGTAGCTACACTGCAAAGTGCATTACGAATACGTCTTTGCACAATTACGCCTCGAGACGGTTCCCATTCTGTGCATCCACAGCATGCTCTGAGGTGGGTGAAAGTCAGTTCGTTGAGCAACTCAAAAGATTATATGCACACGTGCATTACTGGGGGTGTCTGATGCAGCTAAATGTGAGATGCAGACTTAGCTGGCAAGTAAGCAAATTAGCAAGTGAAGAAAAAAACATCTATGAAGGAATCTACAAAAATATTTACTACTTATTTAAACGTATGAACCGAATGCATTTTGAAAATATTCAAATGATAAATAAAAAAAAGCAGCAGCTGTCCATAACCCATAACTGCGAAATGCAAGATCTTATAAATGCAACTAAGGTAACCAGAGTGGACAATGCCGAGGGCACGAAGCAAATTAATGACCTCGTCTTTAAGCATATAGCTGAGAAGGAAGCTCTGTGTAGACACGCGGAACACGAGGTGAAGGTCATGCAGCTTGTAAACTTGAAAGAGTACAAGGAGCATATCTTCTACATATTTAACATAATACAAAGGGAGCGGAACGTCTTGTCTTTGCCTCCTTTACCCATGGACGAATTGGAGGAAGGAGATGAAGGTGTGGTTGAGAAATTAATACGGGTTCAGCCCAATGGTTTCTGCCCCTGCGCAAATAAGGAACGACACATATATTTTGCGTGCATAGTAAAATATTTTCACCTCTTTTACTTGTATAAGTTGATTAAAAGTAATGTGAATGTAATTAGCTACCTTCATCTCTACCTTAAGCGCTCCGTGTGCGATACGTTGGGAGTGTCCGTAATTTTCAGCCTTGGCGAAGTGGAAGACCTTTTTCTACGCCATAGCAAGAACAATGAGGAGGTTAAGGGACGCCTCTATGGTTTGTTAAGTCAGTTGTGCCGCGACCATTACGCGTGCAGGGCAGCAGCTCATTGTGCAGATCACTGCGCTGACCAGGGAGCGAATCAAACAACGAAATGTGGGGCACATGAAGGCCCCCCCTTGAAGGAGGCAGACAAAACGAATGACACCCCGGTGTGGACGGGCACCGAGTCAAAGTACTTCAACGCCAAGGGGCAGTTTAGAAGCAAACTCGGAGCAACGCCGGATGGGAAGGACAACCCCTTCAACAAAAGCTACGACAGTACGCACAAGTACATCAAAGATGACTCCATCCCGTTTCTGCTACAAGATAATGCTTGTATTAAGGAGGAGTCATCTCATACACATTGGAGCAAAATCAGTCTAAGGGAGAAGCCCCTCAACGGGCTGGTCCTCTACTTGTGTGAAGATACCAACGGCTTCTGCAAAGAAAATGTTTATCAGAGTATGTTCAACATGAGCATGAACAAGACCGATTTTGTTTTTCCTACGTTGAAGGAGCAGCTGGGTATGTTCCACGAGTTTGTAAGTGGCAATGGACAAGTGCAAGGGGGGAGAACAACTGGACACAGGTACCCCTCTGTGATGGGAACAAAGTTGCGATGTGGAAACATCATCATAACGAGACACACGAATTTGAAAATCGGAATGGGGGGGAGGGATACACCTAAGGGAGGAGAAGCAGAAAAAAAAAAAAAAAAAAAAAAAAATGTTAAAATGGGGGAAGGAAGAAATGGAGAGGAAAAAAAATACAAAGAATTAACCTATGATATGACAACGATTAAAAATCATGTAAATGATTTGTTCAGCTTGGACAGAATTAATAAGAGTAACCTACCCTCGTCCATCATTCCCATATATGAACAGCTCAAAAAAAATAGCTGCTACTTTATGCATAAGGAAGGGAGAGAAAAGTCGGTTCATTCGGATGTGAAGGAAAGCACAGTGTGCAAAGTGCATGAAAATATTTTAAAAACAAAAAAAAAAAAAATACATGTGGATATAATTTTTCATGTTATTATACCCAAAAATGTGAACAGCAAAAGTTTTCAAATAATTTTACTTTCCTTGTTGAAGATTTTGGACCTGTGTAGCAACTATCACGTTTCCTCACTGACGTGTCCCTTGCCCTACGTGCACAACGTCGTTTATAAGAATAAGCGCCCCGTTGTGTATGCCTTTATGTACTCCATCATTTTCTCCCTTTTGAATTATATCAAGTGCACACAGTGGTCTGGCAAGCAGGTGAGCGTGCTGCATTTTGTCTTCCCCAATTTGGCGTTTCGCGAGGGGGGCACAGCAGCGCGGGGGAGAGTGATGGGCGGAGTAGCGGTGGACAGCTCCATGGGGGAGATTAATGAGGAAAATAATGAGAACAATAATGAGAGGAAGACAACCCCCATTGAGGGGTCCACCCTGGATCCAAGTGCCCATTGGGACAGACATGCTGAGAAACGCATGTCAAGCATGGCCTCCTTCATTTATCGTGTTGTCACCGACATGCGGGAGAAGTATACGCTCGTTGAGAGCATCTAACGCTAGAAGGTTCTTTTTATTAGAAGGCACAAAAAAGTGAAGTAAGCCAAATGGGTGTTTATATAAAAAGCTCCTCTCTACGCTACGCAGGAGAAAGTTCACAAAAAAAAAAAAAGGAGAAAAAAAAAAAAAAAGTGGCATACGTAAGGGAACAAAAAAAAAAAAACGCGATCAAATGCCCTTTCGAAGAAGAGGGGGGTTGTGCTTTCCGCGCTACGCCTCCTCCTCAGAACACCGTGTCTGCGGTGTTCACAAAAAACTCGCTTTTGATTTCCAGCCCCATAACTTCACTGGGGTCGTATTTTTTAAATCTGACCAAGCTAGCCAGCATGTGCCTTTTTAGCGCAGCCAGCTCTGCTTGGTCCTGCGGGTCACCCTCCTCTGGCCAAGCGGGGGTTGAACCCTTACACTTCCTCTCCTCTGGGGAAGGCAAAAATATTTGATGGTAATGAAACCTATTGGATAAAACCTTATTTAAGTCCAACAAGGAATTCATAATTACCAGCTTGGAGCAAACTTTCTTTACGAGCCGATTGTGATTATTTGTTTTGTGACCCATGGCGAGGTACAGGCGGTTGACGTTCGCTTGGACCTCGTCGATGCTGTCATGTTTGAAGTAGCTACTCATGAGGGGGGATAGCCCGTTTGCGTGATTGAGTTGGTCGCCTGCTGCACTATCTATATTGTGGGTGACATGCTGAAGCGGGCAATTCGCATCAGTGCTGTGATTGTCTTTTCCATCGTGCGGGTCTTCCAAATGGTCGTTCGGTGTGTTCACCTGGGCGAGTGTGCCTTCGGGAGGGAGATGCTGGTTCTGTGTGACCTCCCCATTTGGCTCTTCACAAACTTCAATGAGGGCATCATCATGTAGGGGTACCTTGTCGGGTGGCGTCTTACCCCTAAGGCACAGCATCCTCTGGTGTAACAACGCATAGTAGTCGCGTAGAAATCGGTTGAGTCGTTCCTCTCGCAGGAAGTGGAAGAAGGCCACTATGGAGAGCGCATCCGCGAAGATAACGTCGTCAAACTCTGGACATATATTCTTGTTTTTTTTCCTCACAAGATATATGAGCACATCTGATAAGGAGTACAGAGCCTCCTTCATACATTGCCTGACTTGAAATAATTTTTCAAATGAGAGATCTCCCTTGTTCTCGTTAAAGCTTGTGTTAGTCAAACCTAATTTACAAAATATATGACTAAAGAGCTTCTTAATAACTTTCATATTTTTTCTCTTCACAAATTCGATGGTCGGCGTCCGGGGGGTAGCGGCGTGACTACCACACTGTGTAGCTTGGTTGGCTGTTTGAGTGGGAGGGTTGTATTTGTATATAGCGGAGAAGAAGGAAGCCATGCTCTGTTGAGACTTGTCCTTAAACAAGGACAAATATGAAACGAATTTATGAACCACTTCTCCGACATAGAGGTAAGTATTTTTTCCGTAGAAGACAAAGGAGTGCTCCTGCATGAACTTGACCATGATGAGGAAAAGTTTGAAGGAACTAATGCCTCCCTGAAATGCATCATTCAAATCATTTACAGATAACAGAATTTTAAAAAAAATAATAATATATTTTATAAGCGGGTTTTTTTTTAAAACTCTTTGAGTCTGTACAGTACTAACAATGGCACTCACTTGGTTGAAGGAGAAGTCGATTGAAATCTGTAAATGTGTAAAGAAGCATTTAACTATAGGTACTTTTGCTCCTATGATTTGTTTAATGCTGGCATTTTTAAAAAGCTTGTTCCTTTTCATTTCATTATATAATTTTCGTACATTGGTTCTGTCGTCATCTATACTGTTGTAGATGCAAATGTCCATATCTGAATTGTACAGATCTAGGTCTGTGTTGCATGAGCCAAAAATTAGAATGTATACTTGTGGGTATGTTCCCCTTATGAAAACTTCTACCTGTTTTACGAGTTTTTCTCTCATCGCTACTTCGTGCCTTCTGGGCTTCATCAGGTGGGTCAAGTGCATAACCTCCTTGCCCAGGTTGTAAAGGAGTTCAATGGTGGAGCTTACTAGGTATTGCTTGTCCACGAAACCGCTCGCATGCTCCTTCTTCACTTCGCCTTTCATCACTTCGCCTTTCATCACTTGGTCCTTCCTCACTGGAAGTTCACACGGCGGTGACGACGGCGATGGGGGAGCACTTGTGGAGCGCTGCTTCACCCCCTGGACAGACCTCATATTGGTGTCCATGTCCCTGATCATCATTCTGTACGTGTCGGATGTGCGCCCTGTACAGAAATATATCTTCTTCAAATCATCTAGGTAATTATTGAAATGGTGACTTCCATTCTTTTGCATGAAATCGATTATGCTCTTTTCATGCTCTCCATGTACCCATGTCAGTTGCGTGTGGTGGGGGGTTCCTCTTTTTCTCTTCCCGATGCCCACCCCATCCATGTGCTTCACTTTGTGTTCCTGCCTACCCAACGCGTTGTAGCCATCGGGCTTTGTCACACGAGGGTGGGTTTTACCTCTGCGGAGGTCGTTTCTATACGGATCACTTCTGCATACCTCTTCTTCGTCCTCTTCGTTGTGGACACGCTTCTGCCTCTTCTGGCCCATTTCGCTCCGTGGTTGTGCCGGGGGCTCACGCCCGCCGCGATTGCCCCAACCGGTGAGCTTCTTCTCCCACATGGGGGGCCTCTTCCCCCTCTCATCATCACTCAGGCGCTCCCCCAGAGCACTGTACAGCTTCCCCTTAAGAGCTTCCATTTTCTTCGCGAATTTTCTTTTCTTGCTCAATTTCACCTTTCTTCCCATCACCTCCCTGTTGATTTGCTTCCCCTTGGTCATGTCTGCGCTGTGTGGGGGCGTGATCAATTCTTTTTATCGGGCCGATAGCTGCACCTATCATGTGCATCGTTATCTGGGCTAACTTCTGCCAGGGAAGAACAGCATCCCTGTGATAGTCCTGCTTGGATGCGCCAACTTTGGCCTGGACAGTACGTGGGCACGCAAAAGGGAAATTATATTTTTTCCCCTGAATCCTTATCCCTCCTATTAAGATTCTATCCCTCTTTATGCCTTTTTTTTATTCGCCTTTGATCCCTCTGCTGGGAACAGCGTGCGGCCGAATGCGCAAAATGGTTGCTATTCGCGCGGTGCGGATAGTTTGCTGCGACTTGAGGGGGAAACAAAAAAAAACAGGCCATACAAAAGGTAAACCCAGGGGTTTGCAACGAGAACGCAACCGCTATCCCAGCAAACACGCAAACGCACGAGGGCACCCTCTTCTACTACTACCGTAACGTACAGGGGACAAAAAAAGGAAATTCAAAGAAACCAAGCTGCGCGAAGGATGCGCTACCAGTTGCTACATAAATTGTGATGGCAGCGAATGTGAATGCCATATGTGAGAACGAGAAAAAAAAAAACAACAAAGGCCGGTACAACTGGACCCCCTTTGTACCATTTCGTTGACATACGCGAAATGGGCATCTACAAATGGGGAAACATCGAGATGTAAAAAAAAAAAAAAAAAAAAAATTAGGAGAAATTTACCGAAAGGCACATTTCGAGGGAATAAGAAAAAAAAAAAAAAAAAAAAAAAAAAAAAAAAATAGAAAAAGGCAGAGCGCGACCCAGGCTAAGGTATACAACCCGGCTGCTCAATAACTTAATATAGCATTGTTCTCGTCACCACGAGGATCCCTGCGCGCATTCGCAACGTTTTTTTTTTTTGTACGTGATAAAAAGTAGCACTATGGGTTAGCGGTGAGGAGAAGCTTCTTTCACCGAACGAATTGTCCAGCGCATATGCTCTTCAACAAAAACAGTTGCATGTGTTTTCTCAATGCGCCTCCCCTCTTTTGGTTTAGTCGTACTCCATGCAGTCCGCCTGCACGTTGATCTCCTTGTATATATTTAGAAGGTGGTTATACTTCATTTGCATCATCTCGATGATGCCCTTCATCGTTTCCGACGATTTGAGATCACCAAAGACAAGAGAAAAATAGTATTCTTTACAATTGGGGTATTCGTTGAAGGTCCAGTTTTTCGAAATATAATTTTTGTTTTTCCACTTGAGGAAGCATTCCATTAATTCCTTGGCACACTCGTCCACCTGGGGGTCGTTGATCGTAATCCAGTCGCTACTAATTTTTGTTGCATTATCCTGATGGGGCATGGAAAACACCTGATCTGTGTTATCTTCCTTTTGTTCTTCTAGGAAAGGTTTTTCCTTCTCCAAAGATTCGTATTCCTTTTTTCGTAGGAGGAAATCGTCATGTGTGTTTTGCATGTCTAGTTCGTTCGCAGCATCGCACTCTACTTGGTCGTCACCCTCGTAGCCTTGTTCATTTTTTTTTTTTTTTTTTTTTTTGTGCAGCTAGCCATTTCGTACTCTTCATTTTTCGCATTTTGGCTAGTTTGTTCATAAAAATTGGTTTTGTTGTGGACGAGGCCTTCTTTTTGGGAACAGTTACTTTTTGCTTCTTTTCCGTTTTTCCTTGCCGCCCCCTTTTTGTTGGTCTTCCCTGTACAGTGGCCCCCGGTGAGATCCGCCATGGAGCTGCTGCGCTTTAGGTATGGGTAACATTTTTTGTTTTCCGCCTCGGTAAACTGGGAAACTTCCTGGGCATACTTCTTCTCGAGGATGCTGCGGCGCTTATGTTTGGATGATCCCCGTTTGGCCGAACTATGAGTGTTGCCATCCCGTTTGTCTCCTTCACTGTTTCCCCCTTGACCTTTTTCCCCTTCCCGCTTTGTTCCCTCCCCCAACGCCCGAGCAACGTACCTGGCGTAGCTCCTCTCATAGCACTTGATGCAAGCGATATACTTCAGGTCAGCGAAGCGGATCAGGGGGCGGATCTCAATGTTCGTCAGCTTGTACAGCCACATAAAAAAAATTTTAATTTCGTTAGTTAGCTGCTTGTAAAGGGGAATGTTTTTTTTTTTTTTCTCCTTTTTGCGTTTCTTTCGCAGCCCCTCCTTGTTAAGTAGATAACTCAAGTTAATCAACGACACACACACATGTCTGCTTTTAATCCTTTTAATTCGACGGAGCAAGTATTTTAGCCCTTCCACGAGCCTACTTCGCAGCTTGCTTAGGTAGTTATAGTAAAACACGAGATGCTCATCGGTCGAGTTCGTCCTTGTCCCGATGATGTAATTCTTTTTGTTCTTCCTCTGCGTGTCACCGCTCTTTTTGCTTCCTCCCTTTATGCCACTTAGGGAGTTTTTCCTCCCCGTGTCTCCATTTTGTGCGCCATTGCCATGGCCATTGCCATCCCCATCCCCCACCTCTTCGTCGTCTTTTTTTATATAAATTTTGATTTCCTTCCCCTGCAGCACATATGGTGCGCAGTACTGAATTGGGATGTCTTCCCACTTGAACGCTTTCAGCTTTTTTATTTTTTTTTTAATTTTTTTTTTTATTTTGTTTTTTGCACTTTGGAATTTGTCTTGGTCTTTCCGCTCATCGTCGGCGCTTTTGTGCCCCGCTACGTCCGCGCGCTTTCGCTTTTTGCTGCTCGGGGGGGGAGCGTTTTCGGCAGTGACAGCAGCCGAGATTGTAGCGGAGGTCGTAGCGGACGTCGCGGCGGTGGTTGCGGACTCTGGAGCCTCGCCATTGGAGGGGTCTGTTTTAGCTTCCCGCTTCGCCCTGAGCCTGTCCAGGTAGGCGCGCTTTCCGTTGTGGAAGTTCCTTATGTAACCCTTGAGTCTGTCCGTTCGGTCCAAGTCCGAGTCGTAGTAGTACCTGGGGACCTTCTTCTTGATGACGGAGCAGATGCCGATAAGGGTGCGCTTGACACACTGGTAGAGGAGTGCCTTCTGGTTAATATAATTGGAGGCGGTGATGAATCGGTCCTCCTCCTCCGCGATGACCAGGCTCCTGGCCTGTCGCTTGAGGAGTTTGAGTTCGTTTTTCTTTTTCTTCTCGGCCGCTTCGGTCTGTGTATGTGTGTGCCTCTTGCAGTCGGCACAAGTGGCCGCATTGACCGCGTTGGCAGCGTTAACCGCGTTGGCCACATTGACCGCGCTGGCCGCGCTCACCGCGTTAATCGTGTTGGTCGCCGCCCCGCGTGGAGTGGCCGTCGGTGGGAAGCAAAAGTCGTCCTTAAAGTTGGTAAAGTGAAACAACTCCTTCTGCATCTTGTCTTTACAAATGTTGAAATTCAAAATCTCGTAAATGGCCATCGAAAGAGTAGAAGATTTGTACTTCAAAAAAATATTGTCAATGCTAGCGATTCGAAGAAGAATCTCTCCCTCCGTAGCATTATAATCATTTTTTAATTTTAAAAAATTAATATTCTCATTTGCTTTTAACAGACTGTCCAGTAGACTATATGGAGTAGGAATGGAGAGATCATAATTTAATTTTTTTAAAATACAAATTTCTACTTCAAGAGCAAAATTTTTATTAACACTATGAGCAGAGAAGGTGGAGTCGAGATACTGTGTTGCTGAGTAGTAGTCTGGGGAGGCATCTTTAATGAGTTCATTGTTTCTTGAGTACACTTTGCGCAGACCTTCCAAGTGACTCTTACAATAGGTCTTAGCGATTAGGTCAATGGAGATCAGTCTGTAATTGTAATACTTCTGCGATATGAAAAGACAGATGATAGCTATGAAATGATAAATCAAATCACATGAATCCTTCAACTCTTTATATAGAATGTTATATTTTCCTTTTAGCTGTTCTTTAAAAACAAAGTCATTATACACCTTTGGGTAAAATTCTTTTAACAATTGGATCATCACATCTGAGAATTGTTTTTCCTCTGTGACGATATCATTTATTATACTTTCAATAATTTCATTTTTCGAATTGAATCTACTTATGTACAGGTCAAATATAAGGTTGGTGAAATGTAAGACACACGTTTCGCTAGTCGTTTTTAAATTAGCAAATGTGCGAGACAAACATAACTTTACCTTCTGTCTGAGGTGTTGAAAATTCTCATCATTGTATCGATCTAGGTAATACCCTATGAAATGATTATCTGCTTGCTCTGCGCATTGCAGGAAGGAAGACTTGGCGTACGTGTTGTAGAGTGAGTAGTCCACACACTTCTTTGTTCTTATTCCCCTGTTCACTAGGATGCTACTGTGTCTCTCCATCACTGCCACTTCCAGGTCCACGTTTTCATCTTCGTTCCCCTCGGCGCCGCCCTCGCTGTGGCAATCACTACCGTTGTCAACCTCGCTGCGGCAACCGCTACCATTCCCTTCCAATGCGATGTCCTGATTTGTACGCAGCATATTATCTAGGCATTCCTGTGGTAACTCCTCGCTCAAAATGGACCCCTGCTGGCTCACCATTTTGTTCTTCTTTCCCCCTTCTCCCTTTGCCGTTACATCATTCTTAACTTGCTCTCCTCCTAAGGGGGGCAACAAATTCCTCCCTTCCTCCACATGTTTACAATTCATTAATTTGTTCCGAATCATATCCCCTTCATGCACATCTGACACGTCCGTTACGTCGCTTGCGTTGTCGCATCGGTCGAGTACTCCCTTGCCATTTGAGGTTCCTCCCCCGGATAAAGCTACCTCCATGCGTTTCGCGGTCCATACGGTCGATGGGTAGGTGGGGTCCGTCGCCAGGTACATGTTGTACCTCTTCGGTCTGTTCCCCATCCAGTGCACTGTTCCACATGACAAGTTCTCCTCCACACGTGAATCATCATCACTGGAGCTCTCGTCAAAGCAGGGCTTTCCAGCGGGTGTGCCGATGGCAAGTTCAGACGTCTGTTCTATAGCTCCCTCTACAAGGGATGCCCCTCTGAAGTTGGGTTCATCCAAGGAGCTATTATCAAATGGGGTAGGTGTCATTGAAACTCCACCAATTGCATGATTAACCTTATGTGAATGATCCGCCTCAACATAATTACTCGGAATGACGACATGGTCCTTTCCCTCACCATGGGTAGGTGCGAACCCGTTTGGCGAGTCCCCTCCTAGTGCTGAGAATTGCTCCGCCTTCTCTTCCCATTTTGGTGTGCAAAATTGCGACATGTTTTTTTTCTTTTTGTGAGGATATTCGTTATGGGGGCTACCATGTGGGTAGCTCCAAGTAGGCGTGCTCCTCTTTTTATTTTCTTCCCTGGGGTAAGTGTAACTAGTGCCTCTTTTTACGACATGGGTCCCGTTCGAGGGGCATCCTGGTTTCTGACCTTGGCTGGGGTGTGTAACAAGGGGGGCTACCCCACCCCCACCATCGGAGCGGTTGAGCAAGTCGGTTAATTGATTTAATACGTTCGAACCACTTACGTTGCCGATGAGGAATTCACCCTTGTACACCTCATCGTAGTGCTGATTGTTCCCCCCTGAGGATGGACTACCCACATGGTTGGCGTGCTCTCTGGTGTGGCTTATCCGATCCGCTTCTTCTGCCATGGGAGCAAAGATTCCCTCATTAGTGTGCTCACTGGCGTATTTGGTGTCACACGAACAGTTCGTTCTCCTCATCTGGAATGCCCTCTTCTTGTACTGATGAGTATTTGGTAGATTACCTTTACAGATTCGCATGGCAAGGAGTGGGGGGGGACAACACACTTTTGCATTTCTTTCACTTGTGCAACTCTTTCGCATGCCCCCCACTGTATTCTCTGCTTCGCATACCTTTATTTCATGTTCGTGTCTTTGTCCATTCATCTTCATGTATGTGTGCTTAGGATTACTCTCCTGTTGGGTTGGCCTCTTCTTCTGTTCATCATGCTGATGTTGCCGCTGCGTCTGCTGCTGCCTTTTTGCCATTCGGTTTGGTGGGTCCCTGTGGCAATGCCTACCTGTGTAAGCGTTTTGGTGACCGCCACACCAACGGTAATCATCGTGTAATGCTTTATTGATTTGGGTGGAGGCATACTTACCGCACCAGTTATCCCTTTCACGGGCGGTGGGGTTATTTCCCCCGCTTTCGCTACTTGTCGGTGCATTTCCCCCATTACGGGGGAAATAAAAGAGATGCGCACCCCTTTTCACGACCCACATCTTGCACATCTGGTGCTCTGAGTCGTAAAATTTTTTATCACCGTGAAGTCGCTCCTCTGCAACTTTATTTGCATTTGTAGCTGTGTACTGGGAGGGGACTTCATAGCCGCGGAATGGGAGAGGTGTATCCCGAAGGACAGTGAGCTTGTTTTTATTACACTGCTTCGTGTTGCTAAACAGCTTCTCTGAACTGTGTTTCCTCTCCTCTTTCCATGTGATCAGGCACAACGTTGGGCTAGTCGTGCACCCGGACATGAGGTGACTAGGGGGGTAGTACTTCTCCTCTTTACGATTTCGCGTCCCTTTACCACCCATGAGCGCTGAACCCTGAACCCCCTCGTCACTGAGCACAACACAAATGTTGTGTGGGTTCAAACATATACTGCTACATTTGCTAAGATTGTTACCAATTCGATTAACAGCTCCTGTCTTGTAGGCGCTCAAAACGAATAGGTGAAGCAGCAAATTCAGGCAGATGCAATAATCTTCCGCTTCATCATTCCTTTTGAGTAGCCCACAAAGGGTTCGCGTAAAATTAGAACAAATTGCACCTATGTCATTGTTATCACAGTCTACTTTGCACCGATTAAAAGAAACATCCCATGAAGCGGGAACTCCAACTAGTTGCACCGCACGAAATGGAAGTTCACTTTTTTTCCTTCTGGAGTCTGTCGTTTTGTCTTTTGTTTGTATGTATACCTTAATTGCATGACTTCCACCGAGACCACTTGGGCTCTCAACACACAAAGAAGCTCCTTCTTTACTTTGCTTTGAAAGTCGTGATGAAAATGGACAGGTGAATTGTACCATATATGGTGTTAGGTTTTTTTTTCGTTTTATTCTGCCTCGCAGGTCGCTGCGACTGTTGTGATGGCTGCTATCTCCATGGTAGGCGAGGGAGATTCCCTGTGGTTGTGGCTTGTCCTGGCAAGGCTTCACCCTATTCACCTGCGCCGTGGGGATGATGGTGGAAACTCCAGTCAAGATGGCACAGGCACAGGCGGTTGGGAAGGTACGGAGGTCGTCCCCCCCTTGCAACGCTTCGAATCCTTCCTGTGTTTCCCCTTCCTGCTGTATTTCAAGTCCTTCCACTTGTAGCACTTCTGACTTCTCCACCGCTGCCACCGCCGATGGGCCACGACGCGATGCCTCCCTGGTGTGAGGATAACACACGCCTGCGCTGTGTGTGGCGCGAAGAATAACATACGCCTTACAGAGATGCGAATTACCAGCGCTCAAATGGCTTTTTTTTTCTTTTTTTTTTACCCTTTTCCTTTTTTTTGTTTTGTTAATTTGTTTTTCCCTCACAAGATGCATACCTTCGTACGGCTTGTGACCTGGCCCGCTCTTGCTCCGACTATTCATGTGTCGCTCACAGTGAAAAAAGGGAAGCACATCTTCATGATGATCATCATGATGGTGGTGCAAAACTGTGAATAGCGAAATGATGGGCACCGGCAGGGAGAGCGTCATCTGGATCCTCGATATTCTGCCCAGGATGCAGAAAGTGCTATCCCCCCCGCGCCACCTCCTCCTAATGAGAAAGGTGTATGGGTGTTTTTTCCACTTCTTCATCGCACACCTCCTTCCCTTCAGCGCAGGGCTTCTCACACCACATGCACTACGAATGCTATTCTTTGCGCTCCTCTTCACTTGGGCTTCACACTCACGAGGTGAAAAAACCAACGTGGTGGCTTCTCTCTTGAAATGGGAAGTGGTCATCCCAAGCGAGTATACCACACAGGAGCTTCTCCATCCTCCATGATGTGCCCAGTCAAATTCAAGCGCTTTTTTGTCGCCACATGCTTGGCATGTTTGCTCATTTGGTTTTCTCACAGGAGGGCATGCTACTTCGCCTTTGCATTGATCAGAGTAGAAGATTTTCCTTTGGCCCAATTTGATGGGAATTTTTTTTTTTTTTTTTTTCTTCCAAAAAGGTTTGGTGTTCTTGTGTAAACTGATTTTTCGTACCTTTAGCATCCACTTTCGCATAACCACAAATTTTTTCTTCTGGGTCATTTTCACCTTGGTGGGTTCTTCACATAGGTGGTATGCCTCTACAGAAGCGTCATTCATTTCAACACTACAACGGTTCATGATGGGGAGATTACCCTGTTCAGGTTTGTTATTCGAATGGTCGTGTAGCATTTTCCGTCCCCAGCCATGAATTCATGACGTAACTGTACACAGGGATGGGGAATCTGCATGCCATTACGCTGTCTTTTTCCCCGGCCCCTGTTTTAGTTGTGTTCAATTTGTTTGTCTGTTGTTTTCCTTTGTGTATCACCCATGAGTGGAGAGCCCCTCGGGGGTAGTGCCCTCCAAGTGCGTAGGAGAAGCTTTCACACCCTTCTGTTTACCTTTATGCGTGTTGCTTGAGACGCTTTCGCTCATGTTCAGGGGAAAAGTGCTGCCCTGCACACGAGGACAATCCCCTTTTGTGTGTACGAACTTAACAGAGCTGCGCGTCCCACACTTTTGGCGCACATAAAAAAAAAAAAAGGGGAAGCCCACTTTGGTTTACGCCCTGCGTAGAGGTAGACCTCAAACAGAGCCACGTTCGCATAAGCATAAAGGACGGTGTGTCCACCTAGTTAAGTGCCCCAAGTGTGCCGTCAGTTTTCCAACAGTTTTGTAAGCACGTCGCAAAAAAAGGGGAACGAAGGAATGATGCATCATCAAGTTGCAGTTCGCCTCGAAAAAAACTAATTCACATTTGCTGGAGGAGAGTATCGAAAAAAAAAAAAAAAAAAAAGGAAGAGAAGCAGAGAGCGGTAAAAGACCACACATAGACACCGCACTTTTTACTCAAGTGCTAATTATACACATGCCCGTAAACATAAAGAAAATCCAATTAAACCTTTTACTTAATTATGCACCTGCTTAGTGGACATTTTCGTGGTGCTTTATTTTCCCGGTTTATATGCGCCCTTTATTAATTCTCCCCCTTCCATATCGCTATATGACGGCCGACGAATTAAAAAGACACGAAAGTGTTTTCCGCACACTGAGGGGGGCGCGCAAATTCCCCCTATCTTTAAAAAAGGGCGGGAAAAAAAATATATATATTTATTTATGCGTATATTTATGTATATACTCATGTACGCACTTGCTTGTGCAGGCCGGACTGCCTACCCTTCGGAGACATCCACATCGACTTGGTGATTTTTTCGATAAGCATAGCCTGAGCACTTTTGAGGATGTCCCCAATTGTGCACGCATAAAAAAATGTAACGCCTTGCCGCCAAGGTGGATTATCCACATGAAAACTTCTCCCTTAGATATGTTTCCTTCATGTGGCAGTTTTTTTTTACTTCATTATGAAGCAGTGGCATGTCGCTGCAACGAAAAAACGACAAGTTGGCGAAGAGGCTGTCATTTTCATCCCCCGATGGGGGTGTGAACATTGCCTAAAGGCGACAAAAATAAATCTCCACCTATGGAGTCCCTCCCACAGGTGTCTTGTTTCAATTTCGGGAGAGCAGACTATTTGACACGGCTATGGCTACGTTGCGATTGCGGTTGCGGCTGAGGTTACGTTATTGGAAAGAACATATATTTCCCCTTTGTTAGCAATTTGACCATTTTGCTTTCTTCCCTTCCGCCAGTATTATTTCCTTACAGAGGGAATGACCAAGGTTGGGGACATGGTGACTAGACTTCTACCGACAGGCTGCTTAGTATACCTCTGTTTGAACAAAACGCAGACCAACTCTGCAACTGTCCCACGGATTATCCTCACCAGCGTGTGCATAAAGGTATCGTCGTGTGGGGCAGACTACTGAACTGGACCTACACCTATCAGGCGCACCTTTGTGCCAAGTCCTCCCGAAAAAAGGACAAACGGGCATAGATATGCACATGCGTACATACGTACGTGCGTGCAGATGCGCATATATGTGTATACCTAAGTGATACCCCGACTGGGCCCCTTCAAATCACCTGGTGGGTGTGAACCACTTTGGTTCTCCACAGCATTCCGGGGACATACCCCTCCGCAGCGCCGTCCAGTTGGCACAATTGGGATATTCCCGTATGCAGGCATCTTTATTATGCTGAGTTCCCGCCTCAAAAAAAAAAAAGCAGGGTGTAGATAGTTTTAACAAAATGATCCATTTGGGCGCAAACGCAAATGTACATATACGGGGGTTCACTTGTGTAAAGCTAATTTCATACTGCACACAAAAATCGCCTTCGCGAAAAAAAAAAAAAAAAAAAAAAAAAATATTGCTGTTCAGGTAAAAAATACGTAATTTTTTTGCCATTTTGGAAATAACGTATTAACTGTTCATAATATTTTCTTATTTTCTTTCTTTTCTTTTTTTTTTTTTCCCAAAAAAATCACCTGATCTGATCATACGAAAATGCACATTGTTGGAAATTTCCCACTTGTTTTACTTTTTCTCCCTACTTTGTTACCTCGCGCGTGATCGCTTCGCAGTTTCGCAATTTTGCACTTTTGCCGTTTGACCATTTTGCTCACCACCCGCTTGCGCGACGCATACGTTACGCATACGTTTCCATGTTGCCACAAAGACAGCTTTCCATTCGTGAAACGTGAAGCTACCACGCAACTCGCGCAGGTAAGCGATAAAAAAAATCTGCGTTTCAACCGCCCATTCAATGTTCCCCCTTTAAAGTGACGCGTTCTCCACGCAGAGTTCACAATTCGGGACTGCACGTCTCATTATATGTTTGAGCTTCTGCGCGACAGAAGGCTGTACACTCATGCCGATGGGCAGCATGAGCATATGTATATGTACATGCATGCCATTTGCTCCTGAGCATAAGAGGGAAATCGCGTGGTGTGTGTTAAAATCCAAAACGTTTGGGACTTCCGCCAAAGGGACACGCATTTAAACATACGACCCAGAGATAAAAACAAGGAGACGAGCAAACGAAAGGAGCAAGAGCCGATGCGACAGAACTGAAAGCGGGATGCCAAGCCAAAGAGCGGTAAATGATCAGTTCCAGGGCTCAGGGTTTATCTTTACTTACTCGAGAAAACGCGAGAGACATGAATCAGGTCTCGACGAAGTCCAAGTTGAAGACAACTGAGTTCAATGGGGGTGAAAGCAGGGGGGTGAAATTTATGAATAGGGCTAAGGGCCACCTGAATCCAGTGAGTAAAAATGTGGCTAACGCGCCTAGTGCGGCAAACACGCAGTTTACGAACAAAACGTCTTTTGCGAAGAACTCGCACTTGAAACTGCGGACGAACAACCCCATGTTGAAGCAACCGCCCAAGAGCAGCCTCAAAAGCAATCAGAGGAGCTCACTGAGGGTTTCCCACGTGGAATTCGCCAAGCATGGCAATAAAAAGGGTCATCACAATGGTGATGATAAGGGCGATGGTTACGATGACGACAACGCTGGTGCGAATGATGTGCGTGATGGGGTGCATGATGGTGTGCATGATGATGTGCATGGTGATGGCGAGAGGGAGGCGAGATGGGCGAGGAGAAAGGTTCCCTCACCCAACGCCGCTAACGCAACAAACGCAGAAGGGAAGAAGAGCTACGTGAACAAGTTCGCCGTACGGAACCACAGAAGAGACAAGTATGGGGAGAGCGGGAAGACAACCACCATCTCCAGTGGAAACAATAACAATGAAAACAATAACCACAAGAGCGGTAACCCTAAGCTGGGACATCCCAGGATTCTTAGCCAGCCCCAGCACTACGAGGGGGAGGAAGCTGTGGGGGGTGAAAATGAATGGGGGCGTAGGGCGGAAGGCGCCATCTACTCTTACACCTCGCCCATGAAGAGAAAATACGACGCCATGGAAAATGTATACAGGGAGGGCAAGGGAAGTGATAACGATAGTAACAGTGGAGGGGGCCCTCACAGCGAACGTGAGCATGACCACGAGCGAGAGCGCGAGAGAGGAAGGAGGGACACCAACACACAGAGTAAACGATACGCCTCAAGAGGTTACCCCCATGAGAGTGGAAATTCACACTACGGTAATAACTTGAGTGCGGTCAATAATATATCTAGTGGTACGAATGAAAAGGTCAGTGCTTACGGCAGCATGATGTTCTATTCGAATGAGAAACTTCTGGGTAGCAACAACACAGGACTTGGTGCCGCACACCCAAGCCTGAACAGCAGTGGTTTGCATACGATGAGTCAGGAGGACGGTTTTCTGAGTAGGTCCTACCAGCCGCTCAGCACAACAGGCGGGAATGCAGCGGGGAGTACAAGCGGCGCGGCGAACATGCCCGGTGTGGACCAGGGCGAGGATAATGTGAAGACCACCCCGTTAGGGAGAAGCTATGCTAAATTTGATCGCTTGAGAAGGGGCGAACCGATGCTTGCCGTTCCGGCGCACAAGTACCAGCAGCAATCTCAGCAACAGCAACAACAAGAGGGGCAGCACCTGAATAACTCGCTCTACTACCTGAGCAAGAACAACCCCTTGAGATCGCAGAGGCGGAGCAGACACACCAATTATATAACCGACACGAGTAGCGAAAGGATGGTAAATAATACGATGGGGAGCCACAACGAGCTGTTTAACTCGTGTACATTGGACAGACTGAGTGAGCAGAATTTTAATTCCTGTTCGAAGAAGAGGTCGGATGGAAGGATGGACAGCACCCAGGTGGGTGCAATAGACGGGGGAGGCGGCGAGGGTTCGGTGTATAACGGAGCGGATCGCTGCATGGATCGTGGAGCGAGTGCAAATAGGAACACTACGTCGAACGGTTCCCACAAATTCTCACGGCTGCTGAGGAACGATGCAATGGGAGGACTAAGCAGCGACAAGGGGGGCTTGAAGAGCAACCAGCTGGAGTCAAACAACATGGAGTTGCGCAATGTGGCTACATCAGTGCAGTACTCAGAGGGTCGCCCCTTCGCTGTGGGGTCTACTAGTGGCATGGGCCCGGTTAGCAGGGCGTTGAAAGGAGCCGCTCCAAATGAAGTACGAAACGGAAGGGGAGCGAGTCTAACGGCTCTGAGCAGACTAGATAGCAAGGAAGGGGATAGTGAAGACGATTATTATAGAAGCGTCGTGCATAACATCACAAACTGCAACAGTGAAGAAAACGATATGAACGCTTTATACACAAATGTGGTAAACCTAAACAATTATATATTGAATTTAGAAAATGAAAATCATAACCTTAATGAAATTGTTAAGACAAACAACAGCATTAGTGAGACAGTTAGAAGTATTCAACAGAATGTATTAACAAGAAAAAAAGTTATTCAGGATAGAAGGAATGTGATAAATGAAGAGTATGAAGTGATTTCACAGAAGCTGAAGGAATGTGAATCCATTTTTTGTGATTCAAATGATGGTGCTACAGGAGAAAAAAAATTAAAAGTGTTCTACGAAATTGATGAAAAGAAAAATACGCTAAAAGGGAAATATGAGATGAAGAAAATGCTTTTGAAAAAGGCCGAGTATAAAATTGAAAAGCTACAAGAATACACAGATGCAGTGAAGCTTAAGACGCTAGCCATATCGGAGAGGTACAAGAAGACCTTTTTACTCATAGAGGAACTGTTTAGGTTGAAAATTATCAAGGACACGGAAAATGAGGTCCAGGTTTGCCTCATTCCGAAGAATACTAAGACGAACATGTGGCACAAGCTGCAGTTGGACAAGAGGGAAATGACGTCCGACGCTTGTGATTATTTGTGGAGCCAAATAGAGTCCTTCGTGGACAAGGAGGCTCTCAACAGTTACCTCTAAGGAGGGCTTTTTTTTGGTAGCGCTCCCTCCCGAGCGTTGCCACGTCGCACATATGTATACATACACATATATATATGTATACATATATATATGGCAGCACCTTTTTTCGTACATGCACACACGTCTGGCAGCTCCTTTTCTTCTCTTTTTTTTTTTCCCCAAATTGGCATCACCCCGTGAGCGACCTCGCCAACCTGTACATATATACATGTGTGCAGCGCATTCGACGAGTCCGTTTTTTTTTTTTTTTTTTTTTTTTTTTTTTTTTTTGTATTTTAAAAAAAGTCATTTCAAATTCGTGTTTTAATCAGTCGTCGTTATTAGTTAGGCGGTGGCGATGGAGACGGAGACAAAACAAAAAAAAATAAAATAAAATAAGAAAAAATAAGAAAAAAAAAATGGACCGGAAAAATTGCACAAAAAAAGAAACAAACGTGTGGTAAAAACAACACCTCTCTGTCTGTGGCCAGCTTGGGAAAAGCCCCTTCCAAACAAAGGCAAAAAAAAAAAAAAAAAGAAAAGGAATTATCCGGGTCCACTGGTCAGTAGGAAGTCATTTAACTTGACCAAATGAGAACCGTCCTCCACATACAAATCACCGTTTATGAATTTAATGACCACTTCTTTATCGTTAAGGAGGTACGTATTTCCGCTTATTTTTTTTATTTGAAATGGGATGTTGGTTTCTTTGAGGCTGTGACTGAATTCGCAGAGGGCCACGTACACTGGGTCGTCCGTGACAGCGCTGGTGGTGGCGAGCGGCGTTCCTCCCAAGGGGAGTGACACTTCCGAGGTTGCGTCATCCTTGACACCCATCATCAGGTTGGTGTCCCCCTCGAACAGCATAGCATCGAGTGCGTTGTTTTTGTCCGCCCTGTTGTTATAATCGAGCATGTAATTGCCCGCATCGACGCAGTCATCACTGTAGTTCATGAGGCTACTAGCTGCCCTTCTGCTTCTTTCCCCACTGGGGTAGTGGTCTTTCAAATCATCACTCCCTTCCACTAGTTCGTCGGTCTGCGAAATGCTGCTATTCTTTATAGAGTTTTTCTTCTTCCAATTGGTTTCTTGTAGCTTCTTTATCTCTTGGTCCTTTCTATACGTCTTGGCTTTTAATTCAATTATTTTCTTCTCCAGTGTGTTATTTTCTAGTGTTGATTTCTGCAACAGCAGAGTGGTGTTGAGTAGCTTCTCATTTCTGTGTATGTGTTTGCTGAGTAGCTTCCTCAAATGGTCTTCGTTTTTCTTCAAGATTTTAATCTCGTTGTTATTTTCATAAATTAATAGCTTGGACTCGTAGTCGAGTAGCCTGTCCTGGAGTTTCTCCACCTCGCAGGCCTTCTTCAACACTTCGTCCTTGAGGAGGTTTAGCTGCACGCGTCAGGCAGTAAAAAAAAAGGTAAATAAATAAATGAATACACATATATATGTGTGCACGCGTAATTACACATAAGGAGACGCAATACGGGCGCACATGTATGTGTACACTAGCACTACGCCATATGGCACTGCCTTTTGTTCGCACCTCGTTTTTAATATTTTCGTTTGCCGCGAGCGCATCGTTGTAGTGCTCGGAGAGCTTGGCGAACTCCTCGACGTGGCCCTGAATGGCCTCATCCTTCTCCTTATAAATGTCATTAATGACACTGGTGAAATGTTCCTTCTGTTTCTTCAAATGTATGGCGCACTCCTTTTTTATATGTTTTATTCTTTGCTTCACGTTAACCACATCAATGTTCTTTATCTCCATGTCAAATTTTAACCGATTAATGTCGTGGACCATTTTATTATTTTCTTCATCTTTGGCTAGTAAATTTTCATGAAGCTTCTTCAATTCATTGTCTTTATTTTTTAACTCCTCCTCCAGCTGTTTATAATTCATATGCATATTTTCTATTTCAATTTTTTGGCTATTCATAAGGGAATTATTTAAACTTAGTCTGTTAATGAGATCTGTGTTGCTTTGTTTATACTTGATGATATCCCTATTATTATTCAATTCAATACTTTCAATTATACTTCTTAATTCATTTATTTGTTCTTCCTTCTTGTTCAGTTGATTATATAATTCTTTTATAACTCTCTTTTGCTTTTCTATATTTAATTTTTTTTCCTTTATGCATATATCACTTTTGAGTAATTTTTGGTTTGTCACATTAAGATAATTCTCTACACGATATACTTTGTTATTTGCATCCGCCTCCATTTCATTTTTAACACTTTTATATGCTTTAAGATGCATATAATTTTCTTCAATTTCTTTTTTTAACTCTGCTAGCTTTTCATTCTTGGTCATATTTTCTTCATTTAAATAAAATAATTCTTTCGTTTTTTTTTTTAATTCTTCATTTAGACTTACTATTTCTTCGTTCTGTGAAATTAATATATTCTTCATTTTTCGCATTAGGAAATCTCCTCCTCCAGGAGGGCCTGCACCTGCGATGGACGCCGCTCCCCCTGATGCACCATCTGTGTGGTCAGAGAAGCTCTCATTCTCCACGAACAAATCGTTCAGGTTCGCGCTGCTCCTGTCGCACTGCTGACTCTTCAGCTTGAAGTCCAGTTCTGCGGGGCGGGGGGGGGGGATAAGAAGTGGTGTACGTGTGTGTATGCATGTGTGTGTGTGTGAAGTAGAGTGTGCGTAATGATGGAGTGACGCCGCGAGGAGATCGCCCCAAGGGGAGGCTTACCCATTTGATATATCTCGTGATCCTTCTGGTTTATCTGGGCCTTGAGCAGGCCTATCAGCTTCAGCAAGTTCTGAACCTTCAGCTTCATTTTCCCGTCGTCTGACTTGTCCGACCTTCCGTCGTTCAGCTCCTCAAGCAGGTTGCTGTCCGCCTCCGTTAAGTCAAAGTTTGGAATATTCACCTGCGCATGTTCATAACTATTCTCTGATGTATCATTAGGAGGGATGCACGATCTGTGCTTTTCTTCGCTTACACTTTTGTTCATGTGAGCGTCCTCCTTCAGGTGCAACGGCGGAGATGGACCCCTCGCCCGCGGTTTGGCAGCACCGTCTTCGGCGGTACAGTTTTCCGTGGCGCAATTTTGCGCGGCACAATCTGCTGGGGCAACCTTGTCACCTCCTCCACGACGCTCATCATCCTTTTGGTGAGTACTGAGGTGACCAACCGCAGCACGGTCGATTGACTTATCCTCCACGCCGCTTCCATGAACAATGACATTACCACCTCCAACTCCGCTTTCCATCTTGGGCTTCTTCTTCTCCTCCTCGGCCATTTCCGGGAAGTACAAGCCCATCATCTCGCTCTGATGCAGTGAGGATATGTCCTCCTCTGCTTCCCTTTTCAGATCCTCCTTGTCTTCTTCCTCTTCTTCTACCTCAAAGGGGTTAGTACCACTCATTCGAGGGTTCATTTCGCTCACGCCGTCTTCCACAGTATTTATATCTTTGGGGCCCTCATCCTTCCAGACGGGGTCACTGCTCTCACCCTCCCCTGCGCTATTCATGGTGCTGAGCAATCAGGGGGGGGGGGGAAATGAAAAGGCACTCTTTTTTCCTGTCCTGACTTGGAGCAGCATTCAAGAGGGCGACAAATGAATAGGTAAACCCCCCAACGATATTTTTTAAAAGGGGAAAATATATAATCCCTTTTTCTGTTCTGTCTGTCAGGACGATCAGACACAACTCTGTTTCTCGGGTGGTAGTGGTAGTGGTGGTGGTGGTAAATCTGTAGAGGCTCCCCGCACTCCAAATGAAGCGCAAAAGGGAAAAATATATAGCGGTCCGCGCTGGTTGTCCCTCTGGCGAACGTCACATGAACGCAGCTACGTGTATACGTGTACGTGTGTATGTGTATTCGTATTCGTATGCGTATGCAACGGGGGGGGTGCGTACACAAAGGCGTTCGTAAAAAAAAAAAAAAAAAAAGGTTAACATGAAATGGTTCACATTACGTGAGTTTGCAAACACGTCTGCATACAAACGCTGGCCCACGTGTGGCCATTAAAATGGGGTACTGTGATATGACCACAGGGGACGCAAAAAAAAAAAAAAAAAAAAATTACGAAAAATCGCGCAAATGGAGTGACTCCAAAGTGGCAAAAAACAAAAAACAAAAGTGGCGTTATGGACATCTGATCCGCAGGGACGCAAAAAAATAATTACTCATTTTATGCGGCCGACGGAACTGACGCAACCGGTGAAATGGGGAAGTGGACGCGAGCGAAAATGCAGGCATTCCAAAATTGGAGGAAAAAAAAAAAAAAAAAAAAAAGAGGGCGACAGAAAAATGGATTCCTGGCAAACTTGGCAAGCGGCACTTTGCTTTCCATTCATTTGCATAAAAATCATGCCGTCTGTTTGCTTGGTTTGTTTTTTTTTTTGGTTTCTTTTTTTTGTTTTCTTCTTCTTGTTTCTTCTGTTTTTTGTTTATTTTATTTTTTTTGTGTACGAGTTGTATTTTTTTTATTAAAAGAGGGACGACGCGATTTTGCGGCCTTTATAAAAATTATGCAACCATCGTAAAAATATAATTTTATTTTTTGCGTTTCGTTCAGTTTTGCGCCAGTTAGGCATGTCCGCATATAACAGTTTTTTTCTGGCGTCCCAAAATAAATTCACCATGCAGCATCAGCCTCCATATGTTTTTTTTTTTCCGCTGGTGCTTCCACAAAACGGGTAAAATAAACCCTGTCGCAACTTTTACGGCAGAAAAAAAGTATAATTATACATGTTGTGAAAGTTTTTTTTTTTTTTTCGTTTTTTTTTAAATTCCCCTTTGAGCTACCAAATGGCTGACAATTTTTTTTTTTTTTTTGTTGCCCATTGGTCTCGTAAGACAACACTATGGCTTGACTGAAAAAAGAGTTACGACGGATATAAAATTCTACCCGCGCGTAGGACACATTAGCGTTGTCTGCATGGGGCAGCAAAAAAAAAAAAAAGGGTGTACATGGGGGCACCAACGTCGTATTTTTTTTTGTGTCCGTCCAACTTTGCAAATGCATAATGGGGGTAAAAAAAAAACATGAAAAAGGATTTGAGGAAGTCATGTCGACTGTAGAGTAGAAAAAGTTCGTTTAATATAATGCCCAAATGGGACTTGCTCGCGGACCCTGTGGACAGATAATATAATCCATTGAGGGTACGCAAAGAGGGCTGCATCGAACACTTGCCCACGCTGAGGGAGATGACGACGCACCTGCCCCTGCCACCTCAGAGGCGCCCGACCGCACGGCGTGCCCAAAGGGAAACACCAACAAACATAGTGGTACTAAAAAAGAACAAAAAATAGGTGCTACGGACCCAGCTGTTGGTGCCGTATGAGTGGGCAATGCTTCCTGCCCATTGGGTAAGGACATCGCGCACAGAAACGTCCATCCGCTTCATCCATTTCGCCAGCTTGTCCTTCCCTTGAGCGAATAAATGTTGCTCCACATTTATAAGACACACTCCGCTGCACTCCTGCTGACAGTGCAGGTACTCGTCCGATCCCACGTTGAGAATATTTTCACTAATAAAGGTATTCATGTCTTCCTCAATTTCGCTTCTCTTATAACGAGACGGTGTGGGTATGGTCCTGTGCATCAAGTACAGGCAATGCTTCAAATTGTAATTGTGTATAATTATTTGTTTACCAATTCGATCCTCATGTAGCAAGTACTGCTGATACAAACAGTCCCTGTTCAATTCCTTCGTCACGTACGTTTCTTCCTTTTCATATCCCAGCTTTTTATAATACTGCCTCGTACCTACCCCTGCTATTATGCTCATTTTTCTAAAACCATAATGGTAGGCAATTAATTCTGCAACGAGCACTAAACACTTTCCTAGTCCCTTATGTTGAACGAAGTTCAGGTCCTCTTTGAAATCGTCATGCTTTAATAACGAGCCGTATACGTGGAGTTCTCGGATTAGGGCTGCGCCCTCGAGACACTTAAATGGCCTATCGTCGCAGTAGTCATTTTCATTGCGCAGCCGCAGGCGCAGGAAGCCAAGCAGCGCCCGCTCGTTGTTGTCGTCTCGCGTATGCAGTTCGGGTAGGCGGTGCGAAGCGGCCTCCCTGTTTGAAGCGGCCGCCCGGTTGGAAGTGGCCGCCCTGTTTGAAGCGGCCGCCTCCTTCACCTCTTCCACATGGGTATTGTCTCCTCCTCTTTGCGAGGCCGCATGCCCATCCGAGTAGCCTCCCTCGGCGAACAAATTGACGGAGCAGAGTCCTATAAAATCTTCATCGGCTCCCTCCCCCCTCCCGCTGGCGTTCCCACCGCTGCGTTTATTATTTCCGTTTCCCTCCCCGCACTGATGCTGCTCATGACGATGCTGCTGTTGCTGCTGCTCCTTCTTGTTCTTCTTCCTTTTGGCCCCATTGGGCATTCCCTTTCGAGCCTTCTTCACCCCCTGAAAGGTGAGAAAAAACTCCTCCCCCCCTAAAGTTGGGTATTTATATATTTGTAAAAAAATGGAGCCATCGTTCTTTTCAATCTCCTGATTCTTCACTTCCTTACATCTAATGCATTGGCAAAAAATGGACCGAATGTTCATTTCGTTGGCGATGAGTTGTCTCATGTTAGTAATATTATTTCCTGCTATGATTGAAGGGTTGGGTATATCCCGTATGACTCTGTTCAGGCGGATCCAAGGATGAATGGCCTTTTTCACCAGAAAGATTAAGCATATGAGTAAATTTTTATCCACTTCAAAGTAAGGTTTAAACTCGTTATTATTGTACCACTTTTCAATTCTCGTGAAGGGAGTAATTTCACAGGGGTATATTTTCCATTGGTCTGCTTGCAAATCGGTAGAACTCAGGACGTACTTAAACATTTCAACGTCTTTCTTCACATCTGAGTATGGCAAGTCAGGCATCAAATGGATATCCACTTTGAATCCATTTTCCTTAAGAAGATAAATAGCTCGAATGCAATCTTTCAGAGTACACTGCCGATTAACCTTTTTTAAAATAAAATCATCTGTGTGCTGTATACCCAATTGTACTCTGGTGCAACCATAAGATCTTAATCGAATGAGCTCCTCTTTATTGATCTGGTCAGGTCTTGTCTCCAACGTTAATCCAATAATACGACAATTGCTTGTTTCATTAATTTCTTGCTCTTTTTCTAAGCTAAATTTTTTTCTTCTATTTTTTAAAAGAGGATATATATTTGCTGCGTAGTATACATCCCTTATAAACTCCCTTTGGTACTCCACATCATAACAACTCCAAGTGCCTCCAAGTACGAGGACTTCAATTTTGTCTGCCACATGTCCATTATTAACTAATGTGGTGGTTCGATTGAAAAACTGACAAATCACATCAAAGTTGTTTTGGTTGGCTCTTAGAATTGCTGGCTCAGTAGAGAGGTAGGATCTCGGTTGGTTGGGTTCATTTGGGCAGTAATGACAATCATACTTGCAACTAAATTTGTGGGGGTGTGTAATGATCGTTACAACTAACACACCGCTGTTCGATCTCACACCTTTTCTTTTATTTATTTGTAAAAAATGGACACTCTCCTTGTCCAGGTCTTTGTAATTTTTCATTTCTGTGGTGACAATCATGTTAGTAACATTTTCTAGGACGAACTTCACATCCTTTCCTTTTTTGTTCACCTCGATTTTGTCCTCCTCGTCTGTTGCGACTGGATTGGTCGAATTCTTTTCACACCCCTGCTGGTCGTCCCCTGTTACCTCCTCTTGTGGGGGTTCGTCTCCCCATTCTGGCAGACCCAACCCCCCGGAGAGTATCTCCCCCTGCAGAAAGTCCACTTCATCACCATGTAATTTTCCATTAGTGGTGTTCCCTTCTTCCTCCTCGTTGGCAGTGGTAGCATCTGCACCCGCGTTGGACTGGTTCGACACGTCGGATGTGTGTGAAGTGGAGGCAACATTGTGGGGCTCCTCGGCATGGGAGGATAGGTAATCCTTTTCCCCCTTGGAGTTACGTGCCGCTTGTAAATAATGATGTTGCAGGGCTACACTAATCTGGTGCTTGGAGGGACACACTTTATATTTTTTCCTTAATTGTATGCACAAATTGTGGTACTCTGTTTCATTTTTGATCTCCTTCCTCTTGGACCACAACTCGAAGGCAAACTTCTTAAAACTTTCATTCTTTAAAATGTCGTCGTAGTAGTTGTCGTTGTACTTGTAAAAGAATTCGTTCATGGTGGAGGAGTAGCATTCATAATGTCTGAGTTCATTTTTGTTTTTTATTTTTTTCTTAAAATTCTCAAAGTTGGTTGGTTCGTAGCAATACACCTTTGGGTAAATTTTGTTCTCTTCGTACTCCAGGGGGTAGTTGTGCTTGATGGCGTCGTTGATGTAGAAGTAGTCTCCCTCAGGGGGGGGACTACTCACGGCGCGAGGCATCTCCCCCTCCTGGCCGCCTTCATCGTCGCTCTCTTGATCCAGAATTTCGTCCACCCTCTCGTCGGGGAGTTGTCCGGGGTGAGTAGGCACTTCCTCCGTGGTCACCCCTTCTGGGACAGCTTTCCCTTCCTCACGTTCTGTCTCGCACTGTCCATCCCCCATCGGTTCCCTCTTCTCCTCTTTGCCTTTTTTTTTTTTTTTTGGGGGGGGGGGGGGGGATGCGGGGATATTTCCCCTTTTTTACTTCTTCCAAGATAAAGAAGCGCCGCCTACATTCATATGCCTCTCCTCACGGGGGCAAACAGTTCATGGCGTCTGTGGTCCCCCGGTCGGAAAAACTCCGCGCCTGAGTTTTGGCAATTCCTCCCTAACTGTGGCGTTTCTGCCAAAATGGGGTCTTCACCAACTTTAAAAAATAAAACGGGTGAAAAAATGTGAACAAAAAAAAAAATCGAAAAAAGAATTCAAAAAAAAAGCAAAAAAAACAATTCAGCGGCCGCTCTTCAGCAACTCCGCAAAGATGACTAAACCATAAAAGTTGCATCTAATTTAAGCAACACATGGGGCACGGAAGGCGCAAAAAAAAAAAATACAAAATGTACATAATTATATATACATATATTCCGCATTTGGATTAATTTTTCGCCCGGGGTATAAGCAAAAAAAAAAAAAAAAAAAAAAAAAAAGATAGTGCCGTAATTAAACTTGCTACAATGGCCGCAAATGCGCACCGCGTCGTTCCGCTGCAAACTTTCCCTGCCGCTGCACTGCAAAGTTGACGGTGTTTACGCTGTAAAATTTTGTGCGTTTTTATACCTGAGCGTCCGTTGGCGTGGCTGCAATTACGCATAGGTTTTGTTGAGGGGGGCCCAAGGCCCGTGGCACACTCTCGCCCGCGTAAAGACATACGTACTTCGTATTAAACATACATATGCATCCTCTCCCTTCCGTATGCATTTTTTTCTTTTTTTTTTTCCCATTTTCGGGGAACACAAAAAATGGGAGCAACATAATTTCAGCGTTTAGTTTTAGCTGCTTTTCCCCCAAATGAAAATTTTGTTGGAAAAAAAAAAACAGAGGACAGAAAAAGCACAAGGGGGACAGGAGCAGCTTTGCATGACAGGTCTCACCTGACCCGTTCATAATTTTTCCCAAAAACTGGAGAAAAAAAAAAAAAAAAAAGTCAAAAGGTGCGTCAGAAACTACGCCAAAAAGTATGCGCCAAAAGCCAAGTCACAAATCTTAAGTGAACGCTCTACCGGATGAAGGGGGGAACCATCGCTCGAGTTGATGTGTTTGCTTCCCCATCTTGAGACTTCCCCTGCACACGCGCCCATCGATCGCCCCCTCCACCTATGCTCGTAGCCCAGGGCGTCCGATGGAGAGGCCACAAACTCAAGGGCAGCTTACACAGTTGGGCAGGACGACAATTACGCAGACACATCAGTGACAACATAACCAAAGAAGTAATAACGCACAGTTATGATAGAAAAAAATATGAACAAAATGTGCACATGTACGACACGTGCAAAAGTTATGTGGATTTCAAACAAAAGACCTTTTACGACTACGTTAAGGAGGAAACACCCATACTTGTACCCACCATAAGGAGGGGGAGGCGGCATTCTACCCCTCGAAAAAAGAACAAGGAGGATGAAGTGGAACTGGGTGACTGCACACAAAGAGGAGAGACCCCAAGGGGAGGGTATAATGACCCAACGGGCAGTGAACAGGTAAAGGTAAAATACCTGTGTGAGTACAAAAAGTGGAGTAAACTCATAAGCAAAAGGGACAGCAATCTTGCGGTCGTCAAGGATGAAGCAGAAGAGGAAATCCCTATGGTTACCGAAAACTATGAAGCAGAAAAGACGTGGGAAAAACGTCCACATAAGACAGACCCACAAATTAGCGACGAAAATAAGAACCCCATCAGTGATGAGCTAAGGCACATATGTATTGACAACAGTAAGTTGTTCTACCCAAGTAAGAAGACGGAAGAATGCCACGAAATGAAGGTAACCCAGTACTGCTGGCAAAAAGGTTTGTGCAGCTCCAGATTTGCATTCAATAATTTAAACAGAGGCATTATCAAAGTCAATGATCAGGTAGTGTTCAAAAATATTGTCATTTCCCCAGGGAAGGACAAAGTGGAATTAACCAAAGTAGGTAAAGAGCTGCTGAGGAACAAAAATATAACCATCATTTTGAATAAGCCCAAATATTACTTGTCCATTTTGAACGACCACAAGACAAACAAAAAACTGCTAGCCAGAAATTTAATAAGAAATGAAAATAAGTTCATTGAGGAAGAACATAAATGTATGAGTTATTTTATTAACAAAAATGTGAATATCGAGAAAGTCAATAAGTTATATGTGTGTGGAAGGTTGGACGCCAACTCCACGGGCCTTCTAGTTTTTACTCAAAATACGCTCATCTGCAGTTATCTGCTAAACAAACATAAACACCAAGTGGAGAAGGAATACATTATCAAAACAGCAGACCCGATAACAGAAGTTCATATGGAACTCTTACGCAAAAATGCCCTTGTTGATGGTAAGCTGATATATAAATGCCGCATACAGTATGTGGACTGCTTTACGCTGTCCTTTACACTTTACCAGGGCTTCCACAAAATTATTAGGAAGCTGTGCCTCCTTTCCAACATCAAAATTAAGGCCCTGCACAGGGTCAGGATAGGGGGCATTCACCTGAAAGGTTTGCCCCTCGGGAAGTGGCGCTTCCTCATGCCCAACGAATCTTTTTTTTTGTAAAAAAAATGGAGGAGGAGAAGAAGCCGCAATTGGGGAGGGTGCGTATCTTCTCACGGTTGACAACAAATGGGGGAACTTTCTACAACGAGGGTATCTCTCTCCTTTGCAGGATTAAATTTTTCCCTTTGTTTTTCCCGCTGGAGGTTTAGTGACGCGCTGAGTGTTGCTTTAACCTCCTGTGGAAATTGCTTCGCCAAATGGGTGACATGAAACGGTATTCTTTTTTTACCGCTTGCACCCCCCATTGTGCAATTTTTTTGGCTGTTTTTTTTTTTTTTTTTTTTTACCGACGCGAAAGTTGCCTGACTCGTTCAGGCAGTTTTTTATAACATTTCTGCTGTTTGGGGTTATGCCCCCGCGAGGGCGATTTCTTTAAAGAGTTCTCCTTTTTGTGCGCAAAACTGTGGGATAATCCCGTAGGAGGAATAGATCCCCCGCGCGCAACGGACACAAACGCGTAATGAACAAAAAGCGAATGTTTGTAGAGGGCGGTAGCGTTTATTCCCCTAACTACAGCTTCCTATCCAGCTATATGTGGGCCGGCCCACCTCCATATACACACACACACACACACACCCTCATCCAAAAGGAGGTACAAACCAAATGCAACCATGTTCAACATATATACTCGAGGATTCTCCAAGAAGGCCGGTTGGTCATGGATAAAAAACAGGAGGGGTAGGAAAAAAATAATTTCATTTGCATACCCACCGAAGGAAAGAAGCAGCATCGTGAAGCTGACGGACGAAAGTGACAAACTAGTGTTCGTATGTAACGGGAAATTAAGAAACACTTTCATGACAACGGTGAAAAGCATGAAAGAAACAAAATGTGTAGTGAAGAACGACGCCATTTATACACCTTGTTTGGTTGTGTCAAAGGCCAAGTGTCACACCCTACTGGAGAGCTTCACCTACGATGAGATTCTGCACTTGGAACAATTGGCCCCTCGCATTTTGCAAGCGTTTGAAGAAGCACAAAGCAAGATACACCAAGATGGGCAAAACAGGGTGCTCAGTAAGCACCAAGCTGTGAAGTTTAGGCTGGTCGAGTAGGCATCATCCTGGAGGGCACCATGTCAACAGACGGAATGAACAAGGGAAATTCCTCCACCAGGTGGGTAATCACGCAGTTAGCTAAACGGGAAAAAAAAAAAAAAAAAAAAAACATTACACTGTGAAGACCGTGCTGTCTTCTTAACCTTTCGACTGGAACAAATTGGTAAAATGCTTGCTTACACCGGACGCACAATCATTTTTGTTGCTTAGCCGTTTACATGTTAGGGAGACTCTGTTTTGTAATTTTCTCCAGCGAAGGAATGGCATTCATCACGGAGGAGGAGTACTTCGTTTCTTTTGCCTGAAGAAGGAAATCACCTTTCGGTTCGCTGGACAAGGTCAAGGAAGATTTGGCTGAGCGCCTTCGCCTGTTGGCATAAATTGGGTACTCCTTTTTGAAGAAGGATGAGGTGGAAGAGGACGACGATGCGGAAGAGGTTGACGAGGTGGAAGACGAACGGGGTGGTAACAACGAATGGCAGACCATGGGAGAGGCACCCCCCTCGCTGATAGGGTCCCCTTCAAAAATTTTATTTCCTTTATAATTTTTCTTCGTCATTTTAATGTGTAATTCCCCAGTATATTTTTTTCTAGAAATTTTCGTGAGGTCTGTTAAAATGGCATCGCTCAGTTTGACCTGGAACAGCTTGTCTTTGATTACACACCGGACGTAGTTCACATTTACGTCTACCTTGATAAGAGAGTTGCACATGTACTTGGGGAGGAAGAGCTTCAAAAAGGTGTGCTTGTTGCTGGAATACTCATCGAACAGGAACTTGTAGTGCCCTGCGTGGTTGAAATAGGGGGGGGGTGTAGCGATGCGATGAATATTGGTGTAAAGTGCTGGCGGGTTGTTTAGCGCTGAATTAGTGTGTAGCAGCGCGAACCTTCGTTGCACTGGCGAATATCCCCCTCGTCAGTGTATGGGGGCAGCACTTCCTTCTGGGGCCTCTCCTTCTTCGTATCCATTTGTGCGTTCTCTTTTTCTTCCCTTTCCATCTCTTCGTAAATCTCCTTCCTCTGATTGATACTGTCATAGTGCTCGTTGTGTCCACTTCCCTTTTCCTTTTGTTTCTTCAGTTCTTCTTCTAAAGACTTCCTAACTGTTTCGCTTTTTTGTTTAGCAGTTATCCTATCTGACGTGAGAATATCTGAGCCATCTAAAACGTCCAGCTGGCCCAGGTGTAGAATGACGAAGAGTTTTAAGTGTGTCCATTTCGCACAGGGGTTTCCCATGAGGTAGAGCTCCCTCAGGCTTTCATTTTTCTTTAAGTTAATTAAAGACGCTTCGATGGTTGATACGTCGATGAAGTTTAGGGTCAAGTCCAGCTGAGGGGGGTGAGATGGATAAAACACATGGGTATGACATCATGTAACTTATCTTTGCTGGCTGGTCTTCCTCTTTTTATGCGCCTGTCCTGCTGGCCACATCCCCCACCTTGCGCAACGACTCGCACCCGTGGAGGTTCTCCACCAGCGTGATGTTGTTCAGGGCAAGGTTCAAGTACTCCAGCTTCTTCAGCTGATGCAGATTTTCGATCTTCTCAATCAAATTATTTTGCAGCAGCAGTATTTTTAAATTTCTACAATGGGTGTTAATGAATTCAATTTTTTTAATTTGGAGCTGGTGTAGGGCTACTTCCTCCAGTTCCTCTAGCAGCCCTTCGTTGTGCTCGCTCTTGCGTTTAATTAGCTCCAAGTCAATCTTCATTTTGGCGGTGTGTCCTCTGTTGGGGGGGGCCTCCGACGCGCAGGCGTGCTGCAATGTAGAATGTGCAGTTACGCAAATGGGCACTTATGTAAATATGCAGCGATGTATACGTGTATGCGTGTATGCATGTATGCAGACATGTATGTGTTTTGTTTTTTTTTCTGTTTTCCCTCCTGACAAGGTGTAAATTTTCCCGACGTGGTCCGCTTTTTTTTTTTTTTTTTTTTTTTTTTTTTTTTTCTCCCGCCCGGGCAGCCCCAAACGGCAGCGCCACCCCGATTGGAGAGATACACAAAATGCGTATGCAAAATGAATTTTTTTTTTCTCCATTTTGCTGCCCCCCCATTTTGAGCGTTTTAATACGACGTGGTGAGGCAAACATGAAGGGAAATATAAAATTAAAAAAAAAAATGACAACGCGGAGAGCACAAAACAGCGTAGCTTTTTTCGTCGGAGGGATGCCCAACTGTGGTGCTTCGCGCGAGGAACACCAGAAGAGGCAGATAAAACATAGATTTCACACACGCCGTTACAAGCGAAGGCGCTAACTTGCAGGACGTAGGGGGGTCCGGTCCATGTTCCCTCGAGATAGCCTTGGGGGGCGGGCCTTGCTTTCCACACCTGCAGAAGGCACCAACGGAAAACCACGCCACAAATGATAAGACGAGGAACGAACGTGGTTACAACTGTAAGCCCCCTCCTGAGCACGAGCAGAAAGGTCCACACGTCCGTGGGCAGGAACTCCGGGAACAAGCACGCGCCAAACCTTCATGATAACTTCAGCCAGCTGAACGACGACCTAAGCTTCCTAAATGATGACATCAAACACAATTTGTTCAGGTTAAAATGTATGGAGCAGAAAAAAATAAAAACGGACCGCATTGTGTATAAGAAAATATTAAAGGACCTTTTGAAAAAAAAAGAAAGCTTCGTAGCCAATGACATGATAGAGTTTTTGTACATACTTATTTTTAACGACTTGTACCACCTAGACATATGCTCCAATTTTTTTTTTCATTTTTATCACCGGTGTGTGTACTCCGGGAGGTATTTAGAGGGTGTGCACGTGAACAGCGTGGTCCACCTGATCTTCGCATTTTACGTGTTTGAAGGGTATGGCTTCTTTGGGGCAGCAGCCAATCGGGGGGTCCCGGATGCAGGGTCCAACACGGAGGCGTCTACCCCACGGTACCGCGAGTACCACCGTAACGAAGCACACATGAGCTTCCACCTGTACACCCACCTCGCACAATATATTCACTCGAACATGGAACACATAAACAAAAGCCACCTGATAAAGATGTTGTTAGTCCTTTCTCAGTTCACGTCCAACTTGGGCACCATTGCATTGATGCAGAGTGAAGGAACGGAGGCGGTAGAACAGAAAAGAGCGTTGAAAGACGTGGGGATGAATTTATTCCCCCTGATCGAATCCTTCGCAGAAAAAATTGACATCGCGAAAGATATAAAAAAGGTGTACTCACCAGAAACGATAAATGAAAGAGAAATGAAAAAAAAAAAAGGAAGGTACCTAAACATGATTGATAATTCGAGTAAAAATTTTATTTACATTGACAATGAATCAAATGACAACAAATTAATATGCCTCTTTTTTTATGTCTTATCAAAATTGTTTTTTCCTGTTTGTTCGAACTTCCTTTTACACATGGAAAGCGAGCTGGAGGGAAGTCTTCCCACGGATGCACGGTCCTCTAAGCAACCCTCCCAAGAGGAGACTCTCATGTGTGAAAAAAAAAACGGGGATGATACGATGGAAACACATACTTTTTTTTTCACAGATGAAAAGACAGCCCACAGGAATGGTGAAAAATTAAAATTTACTCTTGTGGACATGTTTATGAACCATTATAGGCAGGTCGAAATGCGCAATCATGTTTTTTATCGTAACGTTAATACAGAGAGGACCGGCGTGGAAAATTACCAAACGTATAAGAACAACATTTTGAGGGCCATGCGGAAATATGTTTTCCTTGATGACATTTACAGCTTGGGGTTGTACTACAAGATGGTGTTTTTCAAGGCCATTTATTCGCTGCATTTTTTTCAGTTCCCTTTTTTGCGCCACTTGTACGAGATTCACTCTTACGCGATTAGCAGAGATGTGGACCATTTAGACTACAACGAGAGGTTGTATTTTAACGGCGAGGTGGAATGGGAGAGGGCCGAGCCGCGTCACTCAGAAAAAACGTGCGAGAAGAAGCACCCCCAAGAAAGATTCGACGAACGGGAAAAGAACAAAATCGTGGAGCTTGCAAAAAGAGGGGACGTCTTCAACAATGCGTACGTAAACCTATTGAACTATATTGAAAGAGATATAAAAAATTGCTCCCCAGAGGAAGCATTAAACACACTGCTGCAGTTGCACTTGCTAAGATTTGTAGACAACCACTTTGTGTTACCTCTCATTTCCAAGCTCTGCAACAGTACTGACAAGCTCCGAAATGAACAGAAAAAAAAAATGAACGTAATTATCATATCTATGTTATCTTTCCTTTCTCCCCATATTGCTTCCATCGAGTCAATACAAAAAGGGCCGCTTCGCGATGTGAACGTATTTAATCACACGTACTGCAACAATGATGTTTATGTGGGACACCTGCAGAGGCTGCGAGAGTTCGTGCAGCTCCTATATAATAAACAGATTTTTAAGAGGAAGAGGAAGGAGTTGCTCTCTTGGTCAAACTACAAGTGTGTGTAGGGGTGTGGAAAAACTGATACAGGGCGCAAATGTAGAAAAGGCTGGTCGTGCGCACGTCCACTATTGGAATGCCCATTGTGTATTTGTTTCGGTTTGTGGGTCGCAAAGTGGAACAGAAAAACTGGACCCCAGTTTGTACACCGCCTTGCGGCACAGTTCGAGCACGCTGTGCTTTGGGCCCTGTGGAAACAGTGGCAACTTTATTACATTTTTTTAGCTTGCCCCCCTTTCAAACAGCTTTTTTTATTATTTTTTTTTTATGATTCACCATTTTGATCGACTTTTCACCTGAACGGATAATAATTTTTCCGTAACAGCTCTCATTTTTAACTTCTTTTTTGGCTTTTTACCTTACTGTTCATACTTTTCTCCCTCTTTTTCGTTCTCTTTTTTTTTTTTTTTTTTCCTGCACACATATGTGCAAAAAAATTAGACATAAAAAAAAAAAAAAAAAGATAAGCAAAGCGAAGCAACGCAAAAATCGCTTAACACAGGAAGGATGTAGTTCGAATGAGTTCCCTCGGAAATTACGCAGCACTTGGACGAAACGCGGGAAAAAATGGAATAAACAAGAGACCCATGGATTAAGCGCATTTAGCTTAATTAGCTTGCTTTGCGCACTACGCATGGATGACACACCCGGCTTGGCTTATCTGTTAAAATTACCAAAAAGGAAGAGAAACCGCGTAGGACAGGACACTGCCTTACGGAGTTATAATCTCCTCTTTTGTTGGCTTCAGTTTTCTCCACCTTTCGTTGCTGACGATATCTTTTGCGAAGAGAGTAAAGCATAGATGACAACGTTTGTTTTTTTTTTTTTTTTTTTTTTTTTTTTGCTATACCTTTTGCTTCTTCTTTTACTTTTACACGCTTACACATTTTGAATTGATCCAAGTGCCTAGAAATATGTTCCGTGTAAAAATAAGGCGCATATACCATGCGTGCATCAGTGCATACATCCGTTAACGTACACCTGCATAAGTGTTCACGTGTTTACACGCATGCATGCAATACATTCTCTTTACATGCGCGAGATGTGGCGCGGAAAATAGGCAAAAGCCTTTTGTAACGCCTCCAGATTTTTATGCATCTTTCCCGCGCGTTCGCATTCTTTATTTTTCGAAAAAGTGGCAGCATATCGGTCTTGGCCCCACCAGTTGCAGACTCGGCTTGTGACGAACGAAGCATTTCGCGCGTCACTTAGGGCAAGGTAACCGCCTCAATCACACCGCAGCTAGCGGCATCGGATCGTGAGTTGCCACCGGTCGCCGTCGAGCGTGGCGTAACTGTGTTCTTTCCTGTGCAGTGCGATTGCCCAGCTGGCGTCACGTTGTGTCATGTCACGTCAAATCGGTTCACCTTATGTGATCGATTCTTTTTCCAGCGCGAGAGGTCGCACAACATTTGAGCGAGTGCACACGCGAGGCCACACAAGGAGGGGTGAACATATATAATGACACGAGGAAACACCAACTGGAATCGCAACAACCGCTTGAAGACCAGTCAGTTGACCTAGACCACGACTGGCGGGGAGTCCCAAGTGGGTGTGCATATGTACATGTTTGTGGGTGCCTGTGTACGCGCGTGCTTTAGTACATAACTTGGGGAGCCATCTTGAGCGGCGCTGGTGGCCATGTGAAGTGCCTACCCACTCGGAGGGAGAAAGCAACGCAAGTCTGTGGCTACTACGCCCCTGCGCATGGAGAGAGGATCAAAGTGTTTGAGAAGCGCAGAAGATTAGTTTAGCTGAGTGGCGTGGTAGTAAAGCGTCCAGTATATGCTCTAGTCGCTGTCCACGGTGCTCACGTGCATATGTGCACACATATTCACATAATTAGTTACACAACCCACTACGTATAAGGTCCTTTGAGAATTCTCCACTCACGCACCCCACCCCACCCCCGCTCTGTCGAAGTAGAGATAAATGCCTCTTTTGGTCACGATTCCTGTGCGCCAAGGGAAAATAACCTTGTCTTTTAAACACCCCATAAAATCACACCCTGTTTTCACAGCTGCGGGAGACGCGCGTTAGCATAGTTATCCATGCAGAAGAAAACTCCGTGTGTTCCCCTGCACATGCACATGAACACGCACACGCACGTAGAATAAGAAGAGGGTCGGTAACCATGCCTGGCAAGTACGACGATGGAGAAAGCCGCCTAAACGAGTATGAAGTAATTAAAAAGATTGGGAATGGAAGATTTGGAGAGGTGTTCCTTGTAAAGCATAAAAGGACACAAGAGTTTTTCTGTTGGAAGGCTATATCGTATAGGGGGTTGAAAGAAAGAGAAAAGTCACAACTAGTAATTGAAGTGAATGTCATGAGGGAACTAAAGCACAAAAATATTGTTCGGTACATAGATCGCTTTCTGAATAAAGCAAATCAGAAATTATATATCCTGATGGAGTTCTGTGATGCAGGGGATCTGTCAAGGAACATACAAAAGTGTTACAAAATGTTTGGTAAGATAGAAGAGCATGCAATTGTAGACATTACGAGGCAGTTGCTACATGCCTTAGCGTACTGTCACAATTTGAAGGATGGACCTAATGGGGAGAGAGTATTACACAGAGATTTGAAGCCACAAAATATATTTTTATCAACTGGGATTCGACACATCGGGAAAATAACTGCGCAAGCGAACAATTTAAATGGAAGACCTATCGCCAAGATTGGAGATTTTGGACTTAGTAAAAATATTGGTATAGAAAGTATGGCTCACTCATGTGTTGGTACCCCTTACTACTGGTCTCCTGAATTGTTATTGCACGAAACGAAGAGCTATGATGATAAGAGTGACATGTGGGCTCTTGGTTGCATCATCTATGAACTTTGTTCAGGTAAAACTCCATTTCATAAGGCGAACAATTTTTCACAACTTATTTCTGAATTGAAGAGGGGACCTGATTTGCCCATTAAAGGCAAGTCCAAGGATCTAAACATGTTGATAAAAAATTTGCTGAGTTTGTCCGCGAAGGAACGGCCCAGCGCTCTACAATGTCTAGGGTATCAGATCATTAAGAATGTGGGTCCTCCTGGGGGAGGTGTGGGTGTGCATAATACTACTCCCGGTGCTGTTGTCACGAGGAGAAATGTATCCAAGGAACACGCTGGCCTGCAGGTAGGCAGCACTATGGAAAACGGGAAAAATCTTGAAGCAGCCAATTATGTCATTTCACAGAATGTCCTCATGAACCAAAGGAGTGACGAACAACACGGGAGGAGAAGCTCCAGCTGCGTTAGCAGACAGAGCGCCAATAATGTTACAAGTAAGGATGATAGGAAGTACCCCCAGGATGCAGCTACTACCAACTGTCATGTGGTTAATGGGCACTACGGCGGTCGCATTGATAAGGGACACGCTGAGAGGACCCGCATCGAAAAGGAAAACGCGCAGCGGAAGGCGCTGGAGATGAAAATCCTGGAGAAGAAGCGGATAGAGCGGCTGGAAAGGGAGCGTGTGGAGCGGTTAGAGCGGGAGAGAGTAGAGCGGTTAGAAAGGGAGCGTGTAGAGCGGTTAGAAAGGGAGCGTGTGGAACGGTTAGAGCGAGAGCGAATTGAGCGGTTGGAACGGGAGCGAGTGGACAGACTCGAACGAGACCGATTGGAGAAGGCGCGGCGGAACTCCTATTTTCTAAAAGGCATGGAGAATGGGCCCAGCGGAGGAGGTAGCCCAGCCGACGTGTCCAGCGTGGGTGCCAGCGACGGCAGGAGTCACAGCGGCGTGCGCAGCAGTGTGCAGGGGGGTATACGGATCAGTGCGAGAGGCAGCGTGCATGACAGTGTGAGGAGCGGAGTACACGAGAGTGTACGAAGCAGTATACCTGACCATATGCGCAAGAGCACGAGCAACGCTGCGAAGGTGGAAGGGATAGGGAACGGAAGAGCTCGGCCTCCCAACCAAGGCACTCACGACCGAAGCTTCTCCAGAGAGAAAGACACAAGTAACCATGTAAGTAATTACAAGCCATATATATATGACAGTAGAAAACCAAAGAATTACCAAGAGTCCTTTGAAAGGAGCTACTTACAAGATTACATGAAGAACAGCTCCATAACCACACCGGTACCCTCAAATCATATTATGCAAACACAAGGAGAGACAGCAATGGGTGTGAATTGTAAGTACCTGGGTGGAGGGGACTATGGAGGGTATAGGAACCACGCAGCAACTGGTCAATACATTATCAACTCGGTGGACAGTTCAAAATATCGTGACCATAACAAGTACAGTGTCGGGTTGGCCAAGAGTCCAAAGGAGATGTACAAGGAGACGGTGAACTCGATTTGCTCCACGGAGTCCAAGTACGAACGGCTGTATAATCATAGTAACAGGGGTGCGGGGCCTGCTCACGGTGGAAGTAGGAATGGGAGTAGGAATGGGAGTAGGAATGGCAGTGGGAATGGCAGCAGTGGAGGAGGGGACAGAAGCTGCGTAGGAGGGAGAAGCGACGAGCGGGACGGCGGGACCTGCAAGAGCAACAGGGTATCAAACATCTACTTCAATGACAACGCCAGGAGGAGTGTCAGCGCGCTGCCACACATGAATGTAATTAACGTGAAAAAGTCTAGCATGTACAATAACACCTGCGATGAGGGCACGCTTAGTAATAAGAGCGCCGAAGTAGATCGGAGTTACAAGCACCTAGAGAAGGACAGGGAGTACCTGTTAGAAAAGCGCAAGATGCTCATGGAGAAGGAGAAGGGCATCTACGACCGGATGCGCCACAACAACGACTACGCGTATGGGGGTATACGCGGGTTTGACCGGTAAATTGGGGTGGAGGCGCGCTTTATATGTAACGCAGTCGTGTGTGTTTTATGTACGTTGTGGTGCGCGCCGCTTTACGTTCTGCTGTTCGCCGCTTTTTACGCACTTTTGAAACCCACTTGGTCCCACCCGTCTACCCCTACGCAGAGGCGAAGACAAGAAGACAAACGAGCTGGATAGGAGAAACAGAAGCCTCTCCATGTGCATGAACGAGCAAGAGAAGAGAAGGGACTCCTCCACCTACAACGTGAAGAAGGAGTACCACGAGGAGCAGGGAAAACTCGACAGCAGCTACACCATGCAAAAGAGAAACATGTACGCCTTGAAGAATTTCACGCACAAGGGCCCGGACGCGTACACTTGCAGGTAGTGCAGCAGCTTCTCCGAGTTAGTGCTCCCTTTGCATGTCTTAAACTATCCATCGTGGGTGTACTCTCCCTTGCATTTTTTGCATTTTTTTTTTTTTTTTTTCTGTCATTTATTCCCCCTCCCTACACACACTTTTCCCCCTGTCAACGTTGTTTCATGGTTTCCCGCGACGAAACAAGTTTCGCTTTTTTTGACCTACACCTTATGCATCCTTGTGTGCCACTTCGTTATGTATTCTTTTTTTTTTGGTTCGATGACGCACCCTGGTCCGTCCATGTGTGTGTCCCCACATCTGATTCGCTTCTTTTTTTTTTTTCCTCCTCCCTGCATTGTCGTCGTTTTCTGTTACGCTGTGCATCTGTGTGTTTGGTGTGACGCGTTGTGCTACCTCGCCGCCGCGTCCACATATGCCCCCAAATTTATTTCCCACCTGTTTATTTCCACTGAAAGAATGTGCACCACATGACAAATGCACACATTACATTTTTGAAGAAGGCTGCTGTTTGGGGGGTAGGGAGACACGCGGGGTGGAGCAGCTGGAGGTGTGTCTCCCTGAGTTGAAACACATTCTCACAGTAGGGGTCTACATTATTAAAAGCACGCACTCGGAGGAGGATGTGGGGGTTACATATAAAGATATGTTTTCCCTCCACACGTCAGTTGTGCATCTTCACCCAGATTCACACCCTCCTTTTTTTTTCATTCCACTTTGTTTTGGTTCTGCTTCAAAATAAATTGTTGTGAATGAGAAAAAAAAAAAAAAAAAAAAACAGAGTGCTCCCCATAAGTTTATGCTCCGACTGTAGTCTCCAATCATTTTTCCCCCACTACAGTCTCTCTTCCCTGTTTTGCTTTACCTCATGTGAAAATAAAAATATTTTTTGAATGAACACACAGCCTGCGTAGTATGGATGGGATGAGCCGCTTTTTTTTCTCTGTAGGTTCGTTGCCTATTCTGTCATATGCTTTGCTTCGCTGCGCTTAATTTTCTTTTTTTTTTTTTTTTTTTTTTTCCCTCCGATGGCTTTTTACAATATAGCGAGCGCGTAGCGACTTCGACCCTCTGCTGCCTTCCATTATGTAACCATCGACAGTGGAGTCGCCGCGCCTCCCCTTTTCGTTTCCGTAACACAGTTTGAAGAACAAGAAATAAAAAAAAAAAAAAAAAAACTTCTGCATCTTTTTCTATGCCTCTATATACCCGTGCTTTTTGCTCCGCTTGGCACTTTACAAAAAAAAAAAATCCTCTTTGATTTATGCATCTAACATGGCTGTGTTTTGCTTAGCGGGATAAGATCACACTACGGGTAAGTACCTTTTTTTTTTTTTTACGCGTGTCAACTTGTATGCCTGACCGTGCGTTAGTGTTACTCTCGTCCGAGGCGATTTCCCATTTTTATGTGTTCGCCAAGCGTGTACCAATACATGCAGGGTAGAAACCCCAAAGTGGGTGCAGCGAAAAAAAAAAAAGGATGTAGAGAAGATGTGAGTAAATGTTATAAAGCGTAATGAGAGAGGCAGGATCTACAAGTGAATTGTACGTCGAGGCGAGAACGTGCAGGCAAGGACTTACTGTGGTAGGAGCAACACTAAGAGTTGGTTTGTATTTCCGCGTAGGAACGTCTAGGCTAGTCGCTCCCGTTTTCAGGCTTCCTGTTTTTGCGCTTCGCCCCGCTTCTAAAATAAAATTAACAAGACGGATATGACTTTGGTGTAGACGCACCTAAAAATCTGTATGAGAGGCGCGGTGTTGAAAAGTTATAAGGAGTAGAGCGAGGGGGTTCATAACAGATCGATCGGTTCCCTCAAAGGTATAACGTGGAACAGCGGTACACCATAAAGACAAGTTAGCATTCCACAAACACCACGTACCCTATCACATTTCTATTTTTACGTACAATTATTTTTTATTTTATTTTATTGTTTTGCGATACGATGTGCCTGCTAGTCTCCATTTTTATGTGACAGGGGAGCAATGCTTTTATAGTAGAAGCATAACTTAGTAAAAAAAAAAAAAAAAAAAAAATATACCAACGGCAAAGTGTACAAGTAGTAACCCTGATTTGCAGACAGCGACATGCAGGCTTCGCCCACCTTGAAAAACCATGACCTGAAATCGCTCCTACTGAGTACCCTTCTTACACAGAGTAATGTACGGGAGTGATCAGCCCAGCTCTGTGACCACGTGCATACAATTTATTCCTTCGTCCCAGTTCGGCTATCTTCCCCTTCAGTAGTACACACAAGCATCACATGGATGAGTTCGAAGTAGGTCCCAATGGGGCAGAGCCCGCGTCGTAGTGGGCACGCGCCGAAGTGCGTGCGTAACTGCGCACGTAACCGCTTTGCCTAACTATGTATGTAGATGCCACACCGGTGTGCACGATGCTTCTCCCCCTCCCAACAGACCACGAAGGGATTTTCGAACTTTCCATTAGGACAGGAAGTTCTGCTAGACAAGGTATTAAACGAACAGAGGTACGAACATGATAAGGGAAGGAAGGAAAACAAAAAAAAAAAAAAAAAAGGAGAAAACATTCAAGAACAACTACATTATTACCTGAATGAAAAGTATGAGTCATTCATTGGGTACGACAATTTTATGAACACGCTGTTCAAGAAGAAGAAGGTGTTGAGAGTAACTCATGGGAGAAGAGACGACAGGAGGAAGAGGAAAGAGGAGCATGCCCGTCGCGAGGGTGTGCGCCCCACCGGAGTAGCGCCAAGTGATGAGGACGCGACGAAAGTCAAGTGCCGCGGCGAGTCCGCTTCCAGCGATGGACCAGGCAGCGACATACGAAGCAGCAACGGGCGGGGGAAGAAGAAGAACATGTTGGAGGCGCAGCACAAGGGAGGAAATTCTAAAACGTTTAACAGCGCCTCCTCTCTGAAGAGATGCACCTGTGACTGCCACCAGTGTCGCTCTCCATTAATGGAAACCGATCCGGGTGACGGCCTAACAGACGAATCAGACGGCCGCCTAACAGAGGAGTCGAGTGATGCGTGTCCATCCCCTCCACACTACTCAGACGCCAGCGATATCTCCAACCTGTCCCCAGACGCGTTCTGCTTCGAAAAACAATTTAAGTATATATATGACCTGTATAAGCAGAATGACAAAAATGTGTACCTGTTTTATAACCCTCCCATGTGTAAGTGTGTGAATAAATCTTTGAAGGAGAAGTACTATAGGAACCTGTGCCGGAAATACCCTTGCCTGTTCAATTGCACGTTGGAGGGTGAGGAGGGTGCGGGGAAGCCCAACAGAGGGGAAGAAGAGCAGCGTAATGGGCAGCTATCCCGCACGGGGGGAGTATCTGACACAGGGGGATTACCCCACTCGGGGGAGGAACCAAGTGATGTGAAGAGGCTGACGTATGCCGAGGTAGCGTCGGACGCAGTGGAAATGAAGCTGTACGCGAAGGCCTTTTTCGAGTTGTGCCTTTTGCAGGGGGCCGGAGGGGGGTCAAGCGGTATGAATGCACCATCGGGTGATGAAGCGAAGAAGGTCTCGAGTGACGCCCCGCGTGACGACAGCATTGAGGACGCCACGCAACAGGGGGAGGATGCCCCCCTTGGAGCACAAGAAGAAGAGATGCTTAAACGATTCTTCAACAAATGTCTTCTTAGAATCATGAGGAGGAAATCTCCAACATGCGAAAACAACTCATGTTGCGGGCTCCTCTATGTACCCTATAGTTATATTGTGGTTCTGTTGAATAGGAAAATTGAAAATTTGAGTTACTTATGTAGCAACTTAAATCTCCCTTCCAGCACCGATATGTATTATAATAACAAGAGGAATATTGTTACGATATGTACAAAGAATTCTGTTCATGAGTTTTTTTCTTATTACTCTCTTAGGGAAAACTGCTACGTAAAAAATTTACTTATATATGATGTATTCTTTCATGGGTTTATTCCTTTCTTTAAGCCGCTGCTAAATTTGAAGGTCAAGAAGAACCTGGACAAGGTCATGAACTACGTCAACTACAACAAGGGGTGTAATTTGTCTGTTGTGTTCTTCTGGAGTGGTGTGGCGCGCGAGACGGAGTCGCCCTCGCAGGGTGTCTGCGGTAGCGGCGGAGGTAGCAGCGGTAGCGGCAGAAGTAGCAGCTGCAGTGGTGGCGACAGTGACGCGGATGAGGGGAAGCGGCGAATTCAAACAAGCAACATGATGCACCTCCGTGTGTGCAAAATTATAAACATTAATCACCCAAATGAATACAAGGGGATGACAAGTGAGCACCCCAAGAAGGACTACACAACAGAGGGAACTGCAAGTAGGGAGAGAAAGGACAAAATGAACGCAGACCAACAATACTTCGCCAATCTATGCAACGGAAGTGAAGTCATTAATAATATAAATATAAAAATGGTTGTGGAAAAAATTATTGAAATAGCTAGTCGGAACGAGAGTAGTCTGTGTGAACACAAGTGTGTTTTTAACAGATATAACCAAATGCATGGGAAAAAAAAAAAAATTCAAATTTACTTATGTGAATCGATTAACTCTTTCGCGTTTGATCGTAGACCACTGTATATTAAACGGAGGGAGGTGACTCTCTCTTCCTTTGTGCATTTTCATAATATTATGAACACGTACCTTGGCGTTAGTAGGAACAGCTTAGACGTCCTAATTGGGCGGCGCATGGAGGAGGACGTATTTGATATGAACCTGAGGAGGGATAAGCTCCTCTCCAGTTGCCATGTGAAGAAAGAGGGAAGGGAAGGGGGTGAAGTGGGCCAAATGGGCGAAGCAGGCCAAGCGACTGAAACGAATGGAGAGGTGGAAGAAGGACAAACAAGTAACAACGTAGGTACCGCTGCTAACCCCCCCAACATAGACCACCTCTTCAACGAAACGCTCTTCTTCTTTAATGATAACTCAGATTTATACACATATGAAGAGTACAAAAAGGCGAAGCTTCAGAGTGTGGGCAGAGCAGGGGACCAGGACAACAAGCCCACTGGGGAGCAGCAGAACGCTGCAGCGGGGAAGACCTGGATGGCCAGAAGCGCGACACATGCTCAAGGGGAAAACATATGGGACTCCCTATGCACACAATACGCACAAAATCTCTTCAATATTTATGTATGCTCCTTTCTAACGAAACAGAACAGCTGCAAAAGGGTGGCATCCTCTGTCGGGAAGAAGAAAAAAAAGAAAAAAAAAAAATTAGAAAATAAAATGTCCTACCAGGAAAAGATTAGCTTCATTAAAAAATGCTACTGCCACCTGTTTCGCTTTTACAAGGACAAGTTTCGTATCTCCTTGAAGAAGGAAGAAGAGGACATGCTGCACAAGAATAATTGGGCCAGCGAGGATGCTCTCATCTCGCACGTGGGGGAGGGTACCATGCCTAGGTGATGAAATATCGCCATCCCCTTCCCATGGTGTGTACAGCACCAGGATGAAGAAACAGCGGTGGTATACTTTGCACCCTACCCGTGACACGAGGGGATAAACGTGGCCGCGCTCGTTTCGCCTTTGAAGAGGGAATACTCCTGTGCCAACTTAGGAGGGCGGCTGCACCTCGGACGTGTAACTGGCGTTGTACAAGTGCATACAAGTGTGTACCGTCTCTTAAAGAGACACTACGTTCTCAGGCATGCTTTTTTTTTTTTTTTTTTTTTTCCCTCTGAAAGACGTATTATGCCTCTCTCCACTCATTTGGAGCAAAAGCTTATCGTGTAAAAAAACAAAAAAAGGAAAAGGTCTCTTTCGCCGAGGTGCTTCTCGGCTTCTCCGCCGGGGGGGGGCGATGCTTTCAAGTTCGCGCATCTGTGCAGATTTGTCCACTCACGGGGGTAACCGTGTAGGAGCGCTTTTTTTTTTCCCGGTGGTGCTGGCAACACGCGGCACATTTTCAAGCACCGCATTTTTGGCCATCCCACAAAAAGGGCGAAAGCACACCTGATCAAGGTCAACACAAAGTGATAAAAAAAAAAAAAAAAAAAAAAAAAACATTAAAGTGAATTTATTTCCCACTTTACCTAAGTAACACATCAACGTTTGACTCGAAAAAAAAATAACCCCGATGTCGTCGCGTGAACAATGTGAGCAAGGATGTTCCCCTCTGTTCAGCTGAAGAGAAGGTATAAAAGGAGAGGGAGAAAAACACGGATCCCCCCCTGTTTTGGGGGGAGCATAAATAAAACCCCTGAGTAGTTGATTTTGACGCGAAGAGGGAGGAACCTTTGCCTACTCTGAATCGGAGCTGTGAATTGGTGTGGCAGCATAGTGTAGAAGTTTCTCACATGTTGTAAAACCATTTTCCTCCTTCCCCCCTTTTACCGTCTCACCCCCCTCCGCCCACTACGCAGCCAGCTCTTGAGGCTCTCCAAGATTCTCTCCATGTCCGCCGTCACGTCCAGGGGCAAAGCGCAGGAGTTGATCAAAAATGGCAAGGTGAAGGTTAAACTGCGGAGTTGCTTTTCTTTTTTTTTTGCCCAGTTGTTCGAAGCGGTGTAGCGTAATTTGTGCTTCGCTGGGGGACACCTTACACTCACAATTGTGATATCATATGACTGCTAGCAGAACTGTGACGCCGATCCACGTACAAAAGACTTCTTATTTTTTTTTTTATGCCACTTCTCTCCCCCCCTCCCTCAGGTGAACAACCAAGTGGTGCGTCAAAATGTCGTCGTGGACATAAACTCGTTTATCGAGCTGGAGGGGAAGCCAGTCCTTGTGGATGTCACAACGAAACTGTGGGGCATATACAAGCCCAAACATGTGTTTTGCAGCTCCGAGAGAAATTACGTATATGAGGAAAAAAAGAGGGCAGAGGTTCTTAAGGATGATGCCCATAATGGGTTGGTGACAGGTCGGAGGTTACTACCTAAGGGTAGTTACTCCACTGCGCAGTTGGCACCTGGAGACAGGCGCAAGGGGTTCCTGTTGACAGGAAGGGAACATATAAGTGAGGTAGGAAGAAGCGATTCGTACGAAGGGCACTCAGGGGAAGTCGCTCAAACATTAAGGCAGTTAAAATGGACACGAGATATTGTGGTGAAGCGGCCGGCCTCCTCTTCTGAAGTGGGGACGAAGCAAGACGAACTGGAAAAATTTTCACAGAGTGCACCCCAAAAATTAAATACAAACCTATTTGATTATTTAAGAAAAATGAACAAGACATATGAAACGAAAAATAATAATATTACGAATGATATACCTGAGCATCTCATCGTGGTGAACAGCCTAAGTGCGTCCAGTGAAGGACTTGTGCTTCTAACAAATGATGGGGACCTCGCACGGAATTTAAAAGATATACAAAACAATATCGTCACGACGTACATTGTAAAAGTGAAAGAAGAACTTACAAATGAAAAAATAAAATTAATTGAAAAAGGATGTAGGGTTGGTGATGTACACATACAACCACTAGAGGTACATGTCATCAAACCACATTGTTCCTCTCCAAAATGGATAAAAATTACATACGTAGAAAAATCACATACCCATTTAGATGTTCTGTTTTGCAAGTATGGCTTAACGGTTAGGAAGTGCAAACGTTTTTCCTTTGGTCCTTATAAAGTATCGGACCTCTCGATGAACTTTCTGACGCCGCTAAAAATACACAGCACTCTGTCTGACTTAGTCCCCAAGTACCCTCCTAAGCTAATTCTTGCGCAACCCACTGGGAATGTCCTAACGGATGAACATAATAGGTTCGTGCTGGTCAAGGATTACCTCAAAAACTCGGTAATTCGGGGGCAAGCAAGTGTACAGCAAAGCGGTACAGATGAAGACAAGGTTGTTAAATGTGAAGTGGTGGAGGGGGAACGGAGATAGAAAATCAACCTGATGCAGCAGTGCCATTCAAAACAAATAACGCTTTTGTGCCAACAATTCTTACGAATCGATTCAGCTTTATCATATACAACCTACAGTGTAGTGTCCTCTGCATATTGGGGGTGATACTTTTTTTGTGTGCGGAGGGTTTCAAGTTTTTTTTTTTTTGTCCTTCTTTTTTGCCCACTTTTTTTTTTGGTCCATGTTTTTCGTGTTTTTCCAAAGTGCAAAATCTTAAAAATTAAAAAAAAAAGTATACAAAGCGTAAAACTAAAAAAAAATTAAATACATAGGGATAAAAACGTACGGGTGGGATAAAAAAGTGGGTAACTTTAAAATCGGGGTGTACAAATGAAAAAGCCTAGTCGAGTGGTGGGTGCATGCAGGCGGGGCAGCGGGGAAGCACACGCGCGGCCACGAGCGGGCATAAACGGATGGACGGACAGGTACACAAAAGAATAAATATACACTCACGTGCGGACACACTAAGGCACGCGCGCGTGGAATCCATTCTGTTGCAATGAATACAAATGCATCGCTGGAAAGAATACGCGCATATATATGACAACCCCATGTGAAGCAATTTTTTTTTTTTTTTTTTTTTTTTTTTAAATCGTCTGATGTCTGCTCACGCTCCTGAGTAGTAAAGACGTACACCCAACAAATGCGCAATGAACAAAAAAAAAAAACACACAGGACAAAGGAAGGTACACTCTTCTACCACTGTGGATTGCACTTGGAGGGGCGTCAAGGTGATGTGTGATGTGTGTGTGATGTGTGTGTGATGCGTATGTGATGTGTATGTGATGTGTATGTGATGTGCTTGTGATGTGTATGTGATGTGCTTGTGATGTGTGTGTGATGTGCTTGTGATGTGTGTGTGATGTGCTTGTGATGTGTATGTGATGTGTATGTGATGCGTATGTGATTCTCAGGTTGGCTTTCCAGACGGCTCAGTTCTGCTACCCCCTTGCAACGTGTTATACTTCCTCCCCGAAGAGATGTTAAAAAAAAAAAAAAAAAAAAAAAAGGGGAAAGGGATTATCCTTCTTCATATTCTTACAAAACTCCCCCATTTTTTGTCAACCCACCCCCCTGGTCGAAGCAACCAACCTCGAGGAAGCAAATATCTCAAAGTGAGAACAGAACAGATTGGAAAGGTAGCGAGAAAAAAAAAACTCTTTCCTGTACAACTTCAATTGTTCAATGAACATCTTTTCTGCACGTGGAGACAGCGTATCTCTTGTGTCCCCTCTGCTTTTCGGCTCAACTTTTCTTTTTTCTATCAAGTGACTTACGTCGCCTTTTCTTCGGTTTAGGGTTCAGGGGTTACTTCGGTTGGAGGTTCAGGGGTTACTTCGGCTTGATGTTCAGGAGTTATTTCTGTTGGAGGTTCTGGGGTTACTTCGGTTTCATGTTCAGGGGTTATTTCGGTTGGAGGTTCAGGGGTTACTTCGGCCTGATGTTCAGGGGTTATTTCTGTTGGAGGTTCGGGGGTTACTTCGGCTTGATGCTCAGGGGTTACCTCTGTTATTGGTTCGGGGGTTACTTCCGCCTGATGCTGTTCTGTCGCTACTTGTGGGCACTCGTGGAGGAAGTTTTGCGGTGTGTTCACCGTGTGCGTAGCGTCCTGCACTGCGTTGGTTATGTGGTGCACCACTGCCTCCATGTGGGCCATGTCGTGCGCGATATTCTCCAGAGTGTCATGAGCTATCTGATCGGCGACCTCTTCGGTAACCTGATCAACAACCTCCTCAGCCACCTGCTCGGTCATGTCGTCCTCATCAGTTGTGTCATCTCCCATGTCATCTATAATGAAATCGTCCATCCCTTGTACCCCTGATGCTCCTCCTGCTGCTGTGCCCTTGTGGCCTCCATGTATCACTTCCCCAGTGTGTGGGTTTTTATATATTTCCTTTTCGTAGAAATCAATTTCTTCAATCATATTATCTATGCTGTTCATGAGACTCATATCTTCAGCACTTACAAAACCCCTCAACATGGGTGCATGCAAATTAGCACTCTCTGCAGTGACCTGCTTGGTATCTGTGTTTTTGCCATCTTGCTTTTTATTACTATGTTTAGGTCCAAACTTGTGTGGGAACAATTTTTTTTTTATGAGGATAAGTAAATATCTTAATTTGTTAAAGAGTATTTTTATTCCTAATTCAAGACCTCCTTTTTTAAGTTCATCTAGGTATTGTTCCTCGGGTACTTCAGTTGGGATAGCTTCTCCAGCTTCTTTTGCCTGTTTAGTCTTATAGTTTATGTAGGCTTTGTACAAAAGGCGTAGCAAGATATCCTTAAGTTTAGTCAAGACAACACCTTTAAGACTGGTTATTAAAAATTCATATGAAGATAATTCCGTTTTGAAGTGATCCAATTTTTGAATAGTAGCTTTATCCATTTTAGCAGTACCATTCTTATTTGTTATCATTCCTTCAATGTCTACAATTTTTTCTCCAATTTCTTTTCCCTTTTCTATGAGGTTAACTAAGTCTCCACCAATTCCTGGTCCTTCTTGTATCAGGGTATTTTTCACAACGTCCATAAGTCCTTGACCATCTTTAAATAAATCCTTCATGCTCGTTTTTACAATTTCGTCTACACCTAGACTGCCTAATTCATGTTTATGTTCTTCATCATTATATGTTATATTTCCTAGCTGGATAAGTTCATTAACATCCTTGCTTGATATTCCTTTTAATTGGAACATGTCTGGTAGTACATGATTTAAGTCACCGTCATTTTGACTTAGCTGTTCATTTATAACGTCTTGACTCTTCTGTATGTACTCAACGCTGTTTTTTAATGATTTCATTCCTTTGTTTAATTTGTGAACCATTGCGTTGTTTCCTCCATTAATTAACAAAGCGGCTTTATTGTTTTTTATAGTGTCAATCATGTTTTTTATTTTTTTAATTTGTTGCTTGTGTAACTCTAGGAAGTTTATAATTTTCTTCAACTCTGTTGTGTTTGGTCCATATACATGTTCGTTATTTCCAACCTTCAAGTCATTCATTAAATTTTTCAACATGGTGATGTACTCTCCATTCTTCAGCAAATGTTTGCACTCCTTCATTATCTGCTTACATTTTGCATTTTGTTCTCCTTTTTTCTGAGTCAAACAATATTGGCATTTTATCACTTTAAACAGCTTTTCGTAATTGTTCACCAAGTTCGCGTCGAACAACTTTGAAAAGCTTTTCTTGTCGTCAACCTTTGCTATGTATCCCTTCACCAGGAACACCACGAAGGAGAAGATGATGATGTTCACTCTCATGTTGCCCCTATGTGTGTGTACGTGTGTCTGTATGTGTGTGTGTGACGCTTAGCCTGAAAAGGGGGGCAGGGTGAAAATATGTATTTTGTTATATTACTATTTTATTCTTAAACAAAACCAACATTTGCGCTCATTTGGCCAATTTAACCCCAATTAACGACGCGGGCGACACGCTTCACCACGACATGCGTGGAAATGCGAACACATACAGATCTATGAATTAACAAATTTGCTTAAAGAAAAAAAAAAAAAAAAAAGCAGAACAGCAACAATAGCAACAGAAATGGTAATTACAAAATGCTAGACAGATAGCTGTGGCGAAATACGCTTGCATATGCTGACATATTCATATTTTTTTTTTTTTTTTTTTCCCTTTTTTGGCTTTTTATTATTATTATTTTTTTTTATAGCATTTTAGCTAGCTGTTGCGTAGAAAAATTCGGACGAGCGAAGCAAAAAGTGCGCTCGCGTAAAAGGTACATGCAGGGGAATACGCACAGCGGAGAGTTACACACACAGGGGAAATACTGTTCGTATTTAATTTCTGCTGTATTGTATTTGTGTGCGGGAGAATTACCTTTTGTGCGTACAAGCGGGGGATGGAATTGTGAGCGTGCTAGCGTTTCTTCGGAGAGTAAAAAAAAAAAAATTAGAACAAAGTGATGGTAACAACGGAAGCAATGATAAGCGCCTCGGCGAACGCGATGCTGACTGGACAAGGTGTAAATGCTGCGCAAAGTCCAAGCGATGCTACACGGGGAAGCTTTGCGTTAAAGTGAAAAAAAAATGTATGAACGGAGGTGACTTTGTCGCGTTGACACGTATGCGAAAAAAAAGTGTGTTCCGCGAAGATAACAGTTTGGGGGAAGGTGTGCAAGGGAAACAAAAATAATAATTTGGGGAAATTAAAAACTGCGCACATGCAAAATGCAAAAGTGAACATGTACAAAAATGAAAGTGCAAAAGTGACAAATGGCAAAATGACGAATTGCCAAACGGCCAACGTGTGCTACGCTACCATTCGTATTCTCGCACTCGCAATTCTTTTGAGTTAATTCTACCCCGTGGAAGTTTGCCCATTATTCTACTGCGGATGGCTGAACAGAAAAAGGCGAAGAACCGTGAATGGAGAAAAACTCGGGAACCCAAATCGCAGTGCATCCGCTATGCTGCGCCCATCATTATCATCTTTTTTTTTCTTTTCACAAAAAAGGTTATCAGAAATTTTATATAAATCCCGAGAACAAATGATCCATGGATAATAGAACAGGAAAATATTGCTATAGTGCACCTAGAATGTTATATTCCCCACCGTGTGTCGTTCATTTTTTTTTTTTCGGGGGCACAAGTGAATAATCGTCAAGGTGTGGCATGAGTGGTATGTGTGACGCGACACATAAGGCAACTCTCCCCGTGTGCTGTGTCTGCATGTGTAAGCTGGAGTCAACTGCGCAGTTCTACTCTCTCGCCCCGTGTACAATATGCTGAGCTAATTTGCGGCCTGATCCGGACAGAGGGCACTTTACAGCGCACCTCAGTGGGAAGGCGCATGGAAAAACGAAGAGGAGCGAAACATTTCTTTACGTTCGTGCAACCAAGTGTGCGCAGTCCCCTGGCGCGAATTCCTATTAGTATGTCCCCCCTTCGTTTGGCCACTCGGAGGCGCACAATGGGTGTGCGTAATGTATACACAATATGAACATATATATATATATATATACATATATATACGTTTTTGTGTGCGCGCGTGTGTATGCAAATAAGCACAAGCATTGCGTTGTTTCCATTCCATGGCAAAAGCTTCATTACAAGTGATGAGAAATGGGAAAAGAACTCCAGCCATTGGTGCATTTCTGAAATGTTCACTGTTCAGAATTGAGTAGCTATTTTTTTTTTTTTTTTTTTTTTTTTTTTTTTTTTTTTTTTTCCCCAACTAGCCAAATTAACCTTACTTTGTGTGCACAAAATTTGATCTTCTCTTTTTGGTCTTTTCGAGGAATTTTCCTCTTTAAGACGTACACTCACGAAGCGATCGCTCGATGCATACGGCCTGTCGACCATGAGTTGGAAAATGTGATACAGCTTTACCACGCGCGAAAAGGATCTCCTTCCGCATTCTCCATCAATTGTGTGGTTTAGAAAAACAGAGAAATATGTAACGAGCAAGTGCAATCATGTGTTTATCGCTTGGATGGTCATTTAAAAATGGGGCAACATGCGGGATGTGTCCCTTTTTTTTTCGCCATTCTGTTGCCAATTTGGAAGGGCCGAATATAAAACCCGTCTTACGAGAATGTCTCCGCTTTTTTTCATATTGGACGCGGCATTTTTATAACTACAAAGAAGTAAAGTGTAGCTGTGCGTGAAAAAAAAAAAAAAAGGCTTAACATGCAAGGGGGCATAACTTATTCAATCACATGAGTAAATGCGTGGTATTTTCGCCTGCCCACGTAGTTTGTCAGATGAAGGGATTATGTTTTGTGGAGAATGGTATAAATTGATGAGGTGGACTTGGGGTTTATTTCCTTCACACAGCAAGGATGACAGGCCGCTTGTGTGTGTGTGTTTATGCTCATGCGATTTTGCGCAACAATAATTTGTTCTTCGCTTGTTACGCCCTAACGTTCGAGCATTCGATCGTTCGAATAATTTTCGCGATGGGCTCTTTTCTTTAGGATGACAACAGGGGAAGGTTCCCTGTGGGCCGGCGTTGCAAGCATGTACATTGCGTAGTCAGTCATATGGTACACAGCCGGCTTTCTTCCACTTTGGTTTCCTTGGATACCTTTCGCGTCCTTATGTCCTTATACCTGTGGCTACTTTTTTTTCTTTCTTCTTTTATCACCCCCACGATGTAAAGAATGTGTGAGTACATCGGCATGCACATGTTTATGTGCACATGTTCCCCTGCACGCTTTTTCCTTCACGTTTGTTAAAACGCATTACGCAGTTCGGCCGCACAGGTGGGACAGTATCCACGATGCGACTTTCCCTCGCGAATTGTACATATGGGTCAAAGGAAGTAAATCAAATTATGAGCCCCACAACTGGGTTCCAACTATTGCAAAAACTCCACTGGGCAACAAAAAAAAAATAAAATAATTCCTTCATGGAGCACAGTCGCACATATGGTGTCCCCGACACGCCCCATCGTATGATCAAGCAAACTGTTCTTAAAAAGCAACCCATATTTTTTCCCCCCCTCAATTGGGTTCATTTTATTTTTGATGTTTACATCACTTCCTTTTTGAGTGCAATTTTTAATGGGAGTTTTTTTTTTTTTTTTTTTTTACTAGGCCTTTTGTGTTTTTCCTACACGGTGTGACTTTACATTTATGTGCACACTTATGGGAGGAGACCTCCCCCCTTGGCTGTTTCGTCCCCATTTGCCATTCTGATACCAGCCCGTTTCAGTACATGCCGCTCTCCTCCACGGAAGGGATAGGCAGAACGGCTGGAGTCAAATGGGACGAGGAACCCGCGGGTAAGTGTCTCTCCCTGATTTGGCCTTGACGAACCATTGCGTTTTGCAAGTGTGTACAGGGTAACATGTTAGAGGAGGTAGTTTTGCCGGACTTAGGCACAGGCTCACCGGAGGGAAGTGCCACCTTCGGGGGGGGAGACACGCACAATGGGGAAAGGAGGCCAAAGTGTGGGTGCGCTTCTGAATAGTCTCACGTTGCAAGCAGCTTGTGGATAAAACGAGCTTAAAGGAGATGTAGCCACTGTGCAACGGCAGCGCTAACGTGAGAACATTACCCATGTTGCTTGCGCAGTTGCTCCTCCTCTTTGCGTTTTTACATGGGGGTGGAAGGTTGGCCCTGTCCATGGGTATACGCCAAAGGGAGCCACGCCTTCCTAGTCGTCCAAGCCAAGGGATAAGCAGCGCACGAGAAAACGCAACAAGGGGACCACAATGTAGAGTGAACACATCCCAGTGGAAGAGAACGGGGTGGAATAAAAACAGAAGCAACGAAAGTTTTTTCATTGGAAGTATTGGCAACCTCCCAAGACAGCGCAAACAGGGGAGGAGTGATAGGCGAAGAAGGGAAGGAACAACCATAACAAAAAAAAAATATATGTTTGACGAGGGAGAAAATGAAAAGATGGAGCCAGTGGATCCAGAATTATATGAAAGCTTAAGTGGGTGTATCGAAAATGAAATAAAAGACAATTACATGGACTCGATGATTGAGTGCAGTGAAGACGATTATCACTCGGAGGATGTTCAGTACGAAGAACAGGATTTAAGTGAAGAAACAAAAAGGAAAAAGTATCACACATATGGACGCAGGTACACAGACAAAGACTTCCAAGGACAGAGTGTTCATAAATATTATCAACATTTACCCATTTACTATGATGGAGAAAATGAGGGGCCAATAAAAAAATTCAAAAGAGTTTATAAAGCAAATAAAATAGAAAATTTGGAACGAAATATTCGAGAAGAAGATTTGTATTACCCTTCCGTTCCTGTACAGTGGAAGGTATATGTGTGTCTTTTCTTGGACAAAAAATATAATTATGAAAATAAGAATGATGAAAAAATATATGAACGATTTAATAAAAATGTTCGTCACAGATATGTCTTGGAGTTCCTGTCTTGGGTGAAGCTCTCCACACGAATATACCAGAACACTTCAAAAGTGTTAATGGTATTTAATTTGAAGAAAAATGAAAATATTTTTGGTAACCTCTTCTTTTTCACATCTGTAAATTTACACTATGCAAATATGTTCCTTCAATCCAATCCTTATGTGAAGCTAGGACTTTGTGAGCAGTTATATTTATATTCTTATGAACAGAACAGTGATCACTTTTTGCTTGGTACCTTTCCTAACTTGTTTTTACAAAACAATTATTTGTTTCTTAAATTCTTTAACTTGAACAAATTGGATCATATTAATGGAGTGTACGAAAAGCACATGCGTTTTTTTGTTCGTTCTAATATGATTTTTAAATTGGGTATTTTGAAACACGCTGCCAAGGATACTTTGAAGGATTTGTTTTTAACTCCTAAGCAATATTTACCTATTACTGAGCGCCAGACCAAGAGCGTGCTGGCCAAGTTCGACAACGAGATGGGTGTCTTCGAGCGCTGCTCTGCCGTGGAGGTCGACTCGAAGCGCACCATTCGCCGTGTGTGCCATGGGGAGGCCACTCGGAATGTAGTCACTGGTGGGGACGAAGCCACGGGCTCGGCACATGCCACTAACCACCCTAACAACGCTAGCGTGGATAACCCGCATAACGTGCATGACGTGGACAAGGTGGATAACGCCGCTAACACGGCTAACACCGATAACACCGATAACACGGCTAACTCTGCTAACCCCGGGAGGTTCTCGCGCGACTGCCTGGCCGAGCTGACCATCGCCAACTGCAAGGACGAGGACGAGGCTCGCGAGTTCCTCGAAAAGGACCCCTACACCAGGTCTTGCCTCTACGACAGCATCTTCTTCTGCGAAGTGCGCGAGGTAGCGCCGCACGTGAAATACGCAGAGGGGTACATGCCGAAGGGAAAGTCCTACCTGGACTACCGGCACGCACTGGACACCAACCTAAACCCCAATTACTGCCTCGAGGACAAGCCGGAGTACATGGAGAACAGGAGCCTCGCCCAGAAGAAATTTGAAAACCACGAAAGGGTGGACATGGACATACTAGACACCTTCATCAAGTTGAAGTACACCAATCGGGAGGTCGACTGCGGGGAGGAGTTGGCGGCAGAGGAGGGCGCGGCAAGCCGTGCGTCCCAACATACCGTCGCGTCTCCCCCAATGACGCTCTTAACCTCGACGCAGAAACAACAACGGAGACACAAACGATACAGGGTAAAAATTGTGGACTACGATAACGAATACATGGAATACCTATGCAACGTGCAAAACAATAAAATTGTACACGTTAGGAAGAAAGAGCAGAGGGATGTGCCTGTGGACGATGTAACCCCTTGCCCTTCGAGAGACATATACGATGTCCTTATAGAAGACATGAAGAACCCAAAAATTTACCGCAAGAAGGATATTATCCTTGTGGATAACACGCTGCAATTTTTTGACCATGTGTTCTTTAAAGACTACCTGTCCAATTTCGTATACATTTCTCTTCCACCTGGTGAATTTATAGAAGAACCATATGGGATAAAAGATGAAAAAAATTATGACTTTACTATCTTCAACAATTCGCTAGCTAGCCAAGAGGATTTCCTAAAGAGACAAAATTACCAACCGCGATTCTTAAAAGGAATTTGGCTGAAAAAGGATCAGTCCAAGATTTTATTTTACGACAAACAAAATAATGCACTCATGTATGGCACCGGAATTGATAAAACTTTTTCCTGGGACAAAAAAGTTGATCATCGCATTATGAAGAGGGCACTCATAAATATGGAAATCGCATTGGAAAAAATTAGGCAAGGGAGTTGTGTGCTGATGGACGATCTAACGGTGAACCAGGAAACTGAACGCACGATTAAGGAGTACACAGACGAGTACACTTCTTTCGAGCGACGGTTCACGTCACCGCATAACCAACTGGTCTCATCGGATGGATACCCAGACTACAAGCCCCCTCCAGGTAGGTCGCTCAACAGGATTTAGCTTTGTGTGTGTGCAGTGGGGTTGGCCCTTTTTTTTCTCTCTCTGTGACCCGTTAGCGTGGAGGCGGAAACTATAGGGAGCGGCGTGTTGCTGTCCACTTCCATCACGTCGCTTATTTGTGACCGTTTATCGCTTAGGCCTGGAGTACCTGAACCCGCACATCTGGGAGAAGACCCCCGAGGAGCACAAGGAGCTGATGCTGGACACGGACCGGGTACAAAAAATCCACTCGAAATTTTTGAAGAAGCTCGAGCTGTACAAAGCGTCCATTGACGATGACCCCTTCACGCAGGAGGTACCCACGGAGAGCGACATTTTGGCCAATTCAAACAAGGTGCAGGTGGAGTACCTGTGACGTGCGCGGCGTGCACTGGGTATGTCCCTGCATTTCGCTATTGTCTTCTGTCACCGTAAAATGTGCACCCTACAATGTGCACCCTACAATGTGAACCCTACAATGTGAACCGTGGGAAAAGCTTCCCGTCACGTTTCACTGTCATTATTTTCTCCCTTTTTTTTTTTGTCGTTTTTTTTGGTAATTTTTTTTTTTGTGTGCATTTGGGGTGGGTTACGCGGCGAAAAAAAAAACAAAAAAAAAAAAAATATATATATATATGCTCACATAAACACCAGGCATATGTGCACCTACGCACGCGCGTGCGTTTTCATGAAGACGCTATGTAACGCAAGTTGCGCAGGAAGATCCTCCTGATGTGACACATGCAATTTTGCGACTCCCTGAGGAAGGCCAAGAAGGGCTGGAAGCGAGGGTTCACCTGACTGTCGTCGTCCTTCCTTCCCCTCACCCTTCTATATATAGGCAATAAAAAGTTATTATAAATGAACAAAACCAAAAAGAAGAAATGTACATGCATGGAGAGTAAGGCATTGGTGTCCACCCAGTAGGGTTCTTCCACGCGTTCTAAAAATATGTGTAAGTCAGACAGGAAAGTTTGCGCATGGTACAATGCTGTGTGCACGAAGTACTGGAAGCTCTGCTGAATCCTCTGCACATCTGCATACTCCAACAGCAGCTTGAGATAGGCGTGTAGGTATTTTAAGAAGGTCCTTTTGTTCATTACTAAGAGGCTGTAACGCATTTGCGTCTCCAGGAACTTGACCGTCTTGAGGTACACATTGGGTTTGTTCCTCATGGCGGTGTCGACGCGGTGCTTGCGGTTGATAACGCCATTCACGTTGTCACTGACCTCTTCGCTGCCGTCTTGGCTACCATCTTGGCTGTCTTCCCCACTGCTGATTCGCCCGTCGGCCGACTCCAACCCTGCGTCACCCGCTTCTACAGGTCTCGTTAGGGTGTCGGGTAGGTCCTCATCGGAGTCGCTCCAGGGAAGGGCGTGTCCTGTCGTGGGACTGCTGCGCGAGTGGGGACGGCCATTCGGTTCATTCAGTTGAACACTCACACATGATACCTTCTCGCTTCCCAGCTGGGGGCTCTCCATCCAATTGGGTCCAAATTTAGTACATCCATCAAACATGGGTTCCTTCAAATGGGGATCCTGTAACCCCTCCCCGTTGTTAACTGAGCCTGGTAAATGTTTCACCCTACTGTCCCCTTCACTTACGTCTTTTAAAAGGCAATTTTTTCTGTTCGAAGTGGAATACATCATATGGGCTAGGTTTATATTGGGGGAGAGTTCAGTCGTTGTGTTAACAGTGGCGCCATTCCTTGAATCTGAGCAGTACTCTTGTAATACCTGCTCCTCTCCAACGTCTTCTGTACCTTCGTGCAAATGTTTCCCTTTGGTCTTTTTCAACTTTTTCATCTTCTTATTCTTCTTCCTGCTGCTGCTGCCACTGCTTCGCCTCTTCACATCTTCAAAAATGTCATCCCTCCTGAGGAGCTGTTTTATATCAAATTCATATATGCTAAAAAAGTTGCTGCACGTGTACATGTTTTTTAGTCCTTGTTTTTGTATTGCGTGGAGGTTGTCGCATGTGTTGAAGTGTGCACTTGTCCCTGTGCTCTGAGCGTGTCTGCTCAGGAGGCGTCCCCCATGCACCATGCTATCGTGCACACCATCGTCCACATGTTCGGCGGCGCTATCGTGCACATCATACACCGCGCCACCATCGACGATGCTATCTTCCACCATTTGCACATCACAGTAGAGCGCCTTATTGTAGTGCACGTTGTCCATGCGCGACACGAGGGTCACCCCGTCGTCATGGCACAACTGCTCGGTTAGCGAGAGGGTAGTCGCCTGGTTACCCATCTGGTGGGCCCCAGGCTTTTGTCCCCCCTTTGCAATCAAATTTCTTCGAACCAGAAAAATCATCCCATTCTTTAAATATACAAAAATGCACATGTAGCTGTAGGGGAAGTTCCTCTTCTTGTAAATCAAATCGTACAGAAGGTCATTTCCGTGTATGTTACTCTCAAACGCGTCGTCCACGTGTCTTTTCCTCTTTTGGGGGTGCAGGCAATTCATGCCATTTTGGTCACCCGCTTGGCCATTTTTTGTTAAGCGGTGCGCTGGGTAACCAGTCCAGAGGTCCGACTCGTTGGAGGGGAAGAGGCAGGAAGACATTTCCATTTGGCCCGCCCACTTGGTGCCCGCAAAATGGACGCTCATACTTCCCAGCGCGAGGTCGTTCTGCACAAGGGGTCCCCCCCCGTCCGCATTTCCCTCGATGCAAAATGGGGACGTGTCGTCCCTCCACAAGGAAGAAGCTTTCTCCTTTTTTATCCCCTCCACGTTAGCCTCAAATTTCATCCATTTGCGATTCACCTGTTGTGGATCTACCCCTTGGTGGGTGGTCTCACTGGGGTATTCATAAAAGGTCATATATTTTATTAACTTTTGAATGTCTTTGTGTTTTTTTTCTTCTTCATTCACTTCTTTAGTCACTCCCCCATTGGACTTCCTTTTCGTTTTCGTCTTTGACCTTTTTTTGAGGAACCCGTTTAGGGCACTTTCCTCCTCTCCTCTGAGACTACTCCTTTTACAATTGCCCCCTTTTGCGCTAACCACATCATCACCTGTTCCCTGCTGGGATAGGATATGCTTCAAAAAATTCTTCAGACGTTTCTTTCTCTTCTTCACCCCCTTCTCTCGAGCACCACCCCTGGTGAGTCGCTCAATGAGGCTCATCCTCACGCTACGCACGTCGACCCCCAGGTCGGATGTCTCAAATTGGTAGAGCAACGACACGGTGCAATAATTCAGTAGCTGGTAAATGTAATAACTCTTTGTAGAGTCTTGCAGGTAGAAGAAGGTGTAGGTGTCCATCCCCACGCGAAAAGTCTTTATAATACACATATCACAAATGCCTGTTGTTAACGGGAGGACAAAATTATAAAGCACCAACCTACTTTCTATATGAAAAACGTTAAGTATATATCGCCCATTTTGTAAAGTTATTACGAACAGGTAATTAGCATATAGGAGTTGCTTGATCAATTTTCCTGCTACTTCATCTTGCCACAGTAGGTAAAAGGGGTTCCTTTCCCTTAGGCTATGCACACCATGATCTATGGGGTTGGTAAAAGCATCCCCCAACATGCAACAGATGACACAATTTTCTCTTCTACTATCAAATACGAATATCTTATTCTTGTACTTGTCCACATATACATTATCTTCTGTTTCATTTCTGTCTCTTCTTCGTGCAAAGTCGACTCGTTCGTCGCCACTGCAGTTGCTTGGGTTGATGGTATCACTGTAGGTGCTCCCTCTGTTTTCATCACTACTTGATGTATCTTGTTCTCTCCCGGCGGATGTGGTGTACACATTCTTCCAGCTCCTCTCCCCATGGACGTGGTTCTTATTGGAGTAGCCACCATCCCTTCTCACGATTTTTTTCAACCCCTCAGCTGGACCCCTCTTACTACTGCTATTGTTTCCTCTGTCCAATGTGTACCTCTTCAATGTGTTCACGCTTAGGCCATTTTTGCTAATATGCTCTTCGTAATGGTTTTCCTTCTTTACAAAACCGTAGGGAATTGTCTCCTCTTGTTCTTCGCTTTCCCCTCTCTCCAGCGAGTCTTCTGCCATCCGTTTGACTTCCCTCTTGGTGTAGTTGTGCGTGCCATCCACATGATCATACAGCTGCGCTTGCTTCAACGGCGACTGCAACTGCATGCGGGGCACCTCCCGCATGACTCGCTCATGCTGCATCATTTTTCTAGCCCCCACGCCTTTCCCTTCCTCCCCCTCAGAATCACCTACATCTGACTCCTCCCCCTCTTCATCATCTCCTTCCTCTCCCCTTGCACTTACATGGACTGCCTCTTCCAGATTCTTCTTCACTCTGCTTCTGTCCATCCTACCTGCACCACCCAACGCATCGCGCACCCATGTGTCTTCCTCCTCTGCATCCTGATCAACCTCTACCATGTCTTTCTTCATTGGTGCACTGTACAGCCTCTGATCTGAGATCCTATTCGAAGAGAAAATTGTTCCTTCCACTTTGCCTTTTTTGTTTGGGCGCTCTCTTTTGTTAAGTTCATTTGAATTGTATGGACTTGTACTTTCAAAGCTTCGCTTATGCATTGCTTTTCTGTCCTGGTTGGTGCTGTTATGAGCATCACAGGGCTTTACAACATGATCTCCGTACCGACCGTCTTTGAAGCGGCCCTCGTTGAAGCGGCCATCTCCGTAGTCGCCATGAACCACATCGCTGCGCGCGTCCATGTACTCGTCAGCGCATTCAGCGCTATACGCCCCCCCAGTGTAATCGTCACTGCATTCATCTTGCCCTGTGTACATATGATTGTTCCTTCCACGGGGTGCCAACTCGCCATCCTCCATCCACGGGTTCCTAACTACCCCGTCTTTCTTAACACGAGCACATGTTTGTGTGAACTGTCCCTCTTGCATCTTCATTTCATATTTGTGCGTTACGTTTGTCTTCTCCTGGTGCTGACAATCCCCAGGACTTTCACTGGTGTAGATTCTCTTAACCTCGTTCGATCTATACAACTCTCCAACGGTGACATCATTAGAAGAACAAAAGTCGCTATTTTTATTTTTACCTTTTTTTGTTTCCTTTTTTTTAATATTGTATGAGTCCATGATTTCCTTGCTTGCTCTTGGTGCCCCTTTGGGCACGGGCTGCGTTCCCTGTGGGTAGCAGAGCTCCGCGTGGGGGTTGAAATTCTCCCACTCCATGTCTGAATCGTTGCCGCCTTTGCGTTTCTTTGTCCTCTTCTTTTTTTTCGCGCTGGGGTCTCCGCTTGGGTCTTTGCTAGGATTCTTCTTGGCCTCTTTCTTGGCCTTCCTTTTGGCTTCCCTTTTGGCCTCCTTTTTGGCCTCCCTTTTTGCCTCTTTTTTTGCCTCTTTTTTTGCCTCCTTCTTAGCTTCCTTCGCTTCACTGTACACTCCATCCGGTGCGTCCCCTTTCACATCCTCCCCCTTCTCGCAGTCCGGGATGTCCCCCTTGTCCTCCATTGGACCACCCGTGTGCTCGATCGCCTTCTCTTCACCTCCATTTTCGCTTTTGTTTTTTTCTCCCTTTTGGGTTTTTTTTTTTGTCTCCTTAGCTTCCTTCTTGGCCTCTTTCTTTGCCTCCTTCTTAGCTTCCCGCTTAGCTTCTTTCCTGGCCTCTTTTTTTGCCTCCTT